CCGGCCTATGAAGGGCCGCCAGTAACTTTCAAGGCCCCACACACTCCTATGACGGCCCCCGCTAGTGTATCTAAGCCCCACAACGGCGCCTGTGAGGACCCCACACCCGCGCATCTGACGGTCTTTCACCGACACCTCTGAGGGACCAACACAGGTGACTCTGAGGCGCTCGCTCGCTTCACTTCCTCATAAAATACTGTGCATTTTATGCACACTTCTCAGGCAAGAATTATATTTTTCCCTGCCAATTGTCCACATTTTCTCAGGGCTTAGATAGACAGACCGAAAGAGGGGCCCGTCTGCAATGGGGACCGGACCCACTGTGCCCCAATCCCCTCATCGAAAGGTTCTGGATACGCCCCTGCCTGGGCTGACAGTGGCCCCAGGGTGACCCGGGGACCCCTTCGAGAGCAGGTGGCCCCCTCCTGGGCGAAATCCTGGGCAAATGCCTGTTTGAGTGTCCCAAGAGAAACGACCTTTAGGGCCTCATCCGATGTACTGGCCCAACCATAAATAAAGTCAAACTGCGTCAATCAAGCTATCTTAAAATGTCATTTGATGGCCCTCATAGGGCAGCGTAGGGCCCACAGAGGCCAAGGCCGAGTCCCCGGAGGCTAGCGTCGGGCCCTCAGAGGCCGCTTTGGCGGCCATAAAGAAGCTTAGACTTGAGCGTAGGACCCTTTGACGCTGGCGTAGAGTCCTAAGAAGCCAGTGCTCAGTCCTCTTAGGCCAGCGTGGGCCCCTAAGGCCATTGTGAGGCCTTTTAAGGCCGGTGTGAGACCCTCTATGTCCAGCGTTGGGTCATTTAAGCCCCGCCCTTTAAGGCCAGTGTGGGGACCTCTGTGACCAGCGTGAACCCTCTGAGGCCAGCGTGGGGCCATCTGTCATCTGACTTCAGACTTCAGAGGCTGGTGCTGGGCCCTCAGAAGCCAGCGCGGGGCCTTCATAAGCTGGCGTCAGGCCATTAGAGGCCACCTCGAGGGCCTCAACAGCCAGTATTCAGACCTTATGCGTGTTTGGGCCCCCTGAGGTAGGAGTGCCACTACTTAAAGGCCGGCGTGGGACCCTCAGAGTGCATCATGGGCCTCTAGAGACCGGCGTGGGTTCGAGAGCGGCATAGGGCCATCAGAGGCTGACTCAAAAGCTCCCAAGAGTCCGCGGGGCCTCTGTGAGGTCAACCATAGCATGGATCTCCTGAGGCCATTATGGGACCCGAAGGCCAGCGTGGTTCACTTTGTTGCCGGTGTGGGGCTTTCAGAGGTCAGAATGAGCCTTCAGACTTCAGAGGTTGAGTGAGGCCAAGGTGGGCGACATAGAGCCATCAGTCTAGATCAGAGCTCAACCCGAGTCGGGTCCTTCTAAAGGTTAGGGTATCAATCCTCAACCAGCGCAAGACACTAAGAGATTGACATATGCCCTTTGAAAAATGTTAAAATCGCAAAAAATGGACAAAAAACATTTTGCTTTTGATAATCTTTAGTGACCCCAGCGCCGACCAAAGCAAAAAAAAAAACTGTATGCCTACTGCTGAAATAAATTGTACACTACAGAGCTATAGATGTCGATGGCTTTTCACGTTTTAACATTCTTTTTTAGATTGCCGAGTGTGCCTAAAAAGCCTCCCTCACATGGCGAAAGCGGCAAAGAGCCGCACCCGGGCGTGGTTAAGTACGCTACTACTGGGGCCCCTTAGGTAAGGGTGGGGCCCCTTGAGCAGGTTTGGCCTCCCCCTTTTCAAGATCCTGGATACGCCACTGCTCCTGAGGGTCACCATATGGACTAGTACCTATCGTGCGATGCATGTTTTATGGTCTATTTTACATGACAAATGCGATTATGTGGGTTAGGCGATCATTGGGACCAGTGTCGGTTACGTTCTAGAAAAGGTGAGGTCAAATAAGTCAAATTCCAAAGTTTTTTTCGCATAAAATGGGTATCGATTCGATGCAGCTCGTCACCACGGGGAATCTACATAATGGCGGTCTTTGTTTTGCGCTACGTGATCTGGAATGGCCAAAATTCTGTTTGAAATTTTGAAGTCATAATTTTAAACAGTTTTTTTTGCCATAAATTGGCCAAAAAGAGATATCTATCTCAAATTTGGTATGTCAATGGAAAGCGTTAGGCACTATAGCATAAAGTCCGTTTTTCGAAGTTTTAATTTTTTGAGATTTTTATTTATTTATTTATTTCACAATTCAAACACATCCATTGTAAAATGGCTATTACTTGTTTTCGTCAGTTAACAAAAGACAAAATGAGTAAGATAAAGGTAATAGGAATAAACTTGTCGCATATCACATTCTCGCATACACACTCCCACACGTACGGCGCAGTCACGAGTTGATGTTGACGTATAAAAGCGAACGCAGAATGATGACATTACCTAGCCAGGATTCAGCATGTGCTGCTTGAGCGCTTTGCCGAAGTTGTCCTGCTCTTCCGGCCATTGCTAACATCCGGTGGTAACGAGTTGTACAATGTACAGCGTGGCGGCTCTGTAAGCGAAACGCTTCCTTCCAAACTCGCTCCTGATGCGCGGCGGATGGTACTGACTGCTTGACCTGGTGTCTCGCGCGTACACCTCCCGGTTACGCACAAACAGCGCGGCCAGTGCCTCAGGCTCGGATACGTCAGTCAGGCGACACAGCGCCATCACAGTGTACAGGGTGTCCGATAAGTTCGTTCTCACCTTATATTTGCATGTAAAACAGAGTACATTGCGTTTTGATATGTTTATAACCCCTCAATGTGCTCCCCATTTCATAGGCAAACACATGAATACATGCTGCGACATGCCAACCGGCATGTTTGGCAGCATAGCAGGCTTGAAGTTAGCCCAGACTGACTTGGCATGCGCCGTTAGCTCCTCAATGCTGGAACACCGCTTCGCTTCGACGAGCCTCGATTTCAATATTCCCAACACATTTTTATGAAATTTGGATCCGATGAGTTGGCTGGGATGTGGTCTTACCACACACGCCTATCACAGTCTCCTGGCACTGCTTCTAAGCTTTGCTTGACCTGTGCACTGATGCACTGTCTTGCTTGAAGATGGGCCTACGACCTCCCGGATGCCATTTTCTCCTAAAAAAATGTGGTCATACTTGCGGTTCGAGTTAAGCTAGAAAGCTGAAACTCCTACTAGATCTTCTTGGAGAAGCATTCTGCGTCCCAAGACTGTTTCTGGAGTATCAATCGCAACGTGATCAGTGTCTGGAGGCATATTACCCCACATTACCGTGACCCTGGCTTTTTGCATAGGAATAAAGCGGGATGACATAAAAGCCTTTTCCGTCGCCCATATGGGACCGTTTTGGGGTTTGGACCGGTGTTTTATCTCGAGCACGGACTAGGTAGTCCAGATGACCACATTGATGTCATCGGCCCTCCAGTTTTTTTAGCCTCAGGCATAACGAAACACATGTTTGGCCATTTTAAGACGTTTTTGACTGTTTTGAGCCCTCCGGTAAGGAGAGCTTAAGTCACCTTGAGTTAGGTACCCCGAAATGATACTCTTAGACAGCTGGTAATGCATCCTGAAAAGCCTGTTTACCAACTTTCTAACGTTAAGACCTTTTTGACGGCCATTTTGGCGCCACACAGTTTTGGCCACATGGCTCACTCGTGAAAGCTGACAAAAAAAGAGCATAAACTTGCAGCGATTGACTCCCGACAAATCATCGGCGTCACTTGTTGACTGTGCGTCCAGTTAGCGACAGACATTGGCTACATACTGGATGGCCTCAATCACCCTCAACCGTCGTGAATGGCCCAGTGCGGACTAAATACCGAGACGTTCCCGTATCGGAGACCTCTATGTTGCGGCGTAAGCCGTCTCCACAGGAAGTGAACTCTCTGGCAAAAAAATATTTTGTCTAGACGAATTAGTTACCGTGGAGCAAATTCACAGTTGCCATGGCAACCCCAAAAGCTCAGTTGCAAAATAAATTAAGCGTGGCTTTAAATAAGAGAGCCTCTAAAAGAAAAATTTAGGTGAGAAGGAACTTATGGGACACCCTGTAGTATGATGGAGCTGATTGCTGACCAGCGGACAGCCAACGCAGAGATTTAAGTGTGCCGCTAATATGATCATGTTTACGTTTGCCAGACAGAACCCTAGCACAAAAGTTAATGAATTTTTGGATTATCTGGGTCAACTGCCCACCGGTCGCCCCGTACACAGACACACAGTAGCGAATCGACGACATCACGAGACCATCCACTAAACGAGGCAGCACCTCAGCCGGCAGGCCATGTTTGGCGTGGTGCAGCGACAGCAGCGTACCCGAACACGGTTGACATGACTGTCGAACAGCATGTGTCTATCAAATATGACACCGAGGTTCTGACTTCTGAACAGTCGCGCTCTAGTTGATGAAAGTGTCGGCAATTTTCACTGAGACTGGCGCCAGGTGTTTGACATTTTAACGAGAGCTAAAGACGATCAGTTGAGACTTCTTTGCATTAGGCTTCATGACATTCTTTCGGGATGTCTGAAAGATATCTGAAAATTCCTTTGATTTTGGGGGGTAAAAAACACAGGGTGACTGTGTTGGACAGAATCGGCGTACCGATGTGGGCCCGTCGGACAGACGGAGGTCGCCGGCCGCAGGCTGACCTCGCACCGTATCACACCGAGAGCATCTCTCTCTCTCTCTCTCTCTCTCTCTCTCTCTCTCTCTCTCTCTCTCTCTCTCTCTCTCTCTCTCTCTCTCTCTCTCTCTCTCTCTATTTATCTCTCTCCCTCTCTCTCTCTCTTGCTTTCTCTCTCCTTCCCTCACTCCCTCCCTCTCTCCCTCTCTCTCCTTTTTCTCTCCCTCTGTCTCTCTCTCCCTCTCTCTCCCTCTCCCTCTCTCTCTCTCTCCCTCTTGTCACTCATGGTGGATAATTATGCGTTTGACGTCAAAATGCTCAGCGCTACCTTCTGCTCTACTAAGCATGATCTAAGTAACAATTACTCCGAATTACGGAAAACAGAAAATGAAGGCTGGAAGTGGAACTTTTGTATTGACGATCTACAAGCAGAAAATACTTCACAACTACTACACAGTACACTGTGCCTACGCTTCTGGTGGAGGTTAGGTTAGGTTAGTTAGGTGCAGGCCGCAGGGCAGGGTGGAGCACATTTATCAAACACATTGATTATATGAAGGGAGACGTCGCAGGTTCAGTTTAGACAATCAGCAAACCGAATAGTCGGACACCATCGGACCGGCACAGCTGTCGTATCGCCCCCGTTTGGCGGCCTGTGGACTGTGACCCCGCGACCTGAGGTCAGCGGATCGCCTGGTCGCCAAACCAGGAGGTCATGTCGTGACCTGAGGTGAGCAGGTCACCTCATCACGGGTCGGCAGAGGCGGCCGTGGTCGTCTGATCTTCTTCGTCGCTGCTGACTCCAAATAATCTCCGGATACAATCAGCGAGGCTCTCCACAGTCATTCCCACTCTTGACATGAAACTGTTCACATTGTTCTGGAATGCTTCGGAGCCAAATCGCAGTGAGCCAGATTTTTCGTTTTCCATGTCTTCCATGTCATCCAGACGCTTCAAGACCTCCTCGGGAGTCATATTACAATGCTGGATGAAGTCGATGAGTTCTTCGTCCGTCACCTGGTCACCGTCCATGACTCCCTCTGGGTTTGCACTCCGACGCTCTCGAATCGCCGGTGATGAGGCCGAGCGGGCACCAGACAGCTGGAAAATAACATCAAATGGTTAACTTCGATTGGTTGGGGGTGGTTGTTCCGCATATGGCGATATCAAGTGGCCTTTCGATTATACTCAGGGCTATAACTGGATATCAAATGGACCTCCGCTGTAATCCCTAGTCCAGGGGCCGGGTCAGTCCCGCTCTTCGCACACTTCCCGTTCCCTTTTCCCATTTGACTGATTGAAAATAAACGCGACTGGAGTTTTTTTATTAACCGTTTTCACGACGGGCTTTCCGGCCAATGCACCTAATTTGACCAAACTCTTCACCAAATCTCTCTCACAACTAATGTCTTTATATCATTAATTCATGTCAGTGTGGTAATCGAAAATTATATCTGATAATGACAAAAATGAGGTATGTAATCATCTATACAACCCAAACTGATAACTTTTAAGAAACACAATGAACCTAATTTGACCAAATCTGCACCAGATCTGCACCAAACGTGTGCCAGATGGCCGTCGTAAAACGGCTATTAGTATCCTGCATGTGTAGTGTATGGTCCTTATGCAGAATTGCAATCCTCTGCAGTTGCTTTTCTGCACCTCTTCAGTTACAAATCTCATAGATAAGTCCAGCGTTAGGTTCCTGTTCCTCTTACCTCAACCTCTGCCAGCATCAGGAGCATGGCAGCCACCGCGCCAACGGACACGAACAACAGCTTCATGGCGGCACCTTCAGTGGACGGACCGCGTGTTGGCTCCGTGCTCTGTGGGGCCTCTGTGGCCTGCACCGGCCCGGTGCGGGGGTAGAAGTAGTGTGGCGCCGTTCCGCGCGGCTGCTGCTGCGACTGTGGCCGCTGCTGCTCTCCCCCATTGCTCTAGCATGGGGAGCAGCTCGTCCCCTTCCCCACCCGTGCCATTCCGAGCAGGGCACTGCCGGCACTGGGCCGCTCGTGATTCATCGCGTGCACTTGTATGGGGTCGATGGGTAAATGCTTACAGACTCCAAAGGCAGGGATGCCGCCGCTAGAGCTATGCCTGATGGTGTAACGGCTTCCGTTTTCGAGTAGGGCACAAATTGTCGTTTTTCCTCTGGCTACAACATCACCTTTTGAACACTTGATTGTCTGGTACAGGCATTCGAATTTCGAACAGTCAAAATGCATGGACCAAATTGCTTACCTGGGAGAGATCGGGGCAAACTGGTCACCCTAATATTTGCTGCTTATATAATGTCTGTGCCGACGCTTCATTTTCGAATCGGGAAAGATTCTTCCTATGTGAATATGATCCCTATTAATAGGACTGCAGAGTCGGAGTCGGTCGGAGTCGACAGTTTTGCCCGGAGTCGGAGTCGGAGGTGGAGTCGCCAAAATATTACCGACTCCCGACTCCGCAGTCGGAGTAAGCACTGCATGAGTCAAAGGCATACCTTACACCTGTTTGACACATGTTGTGCAATCGTCTTGATTTTAAAAATTCATGCATATGACATATTCACTACTAATCCCTGGGGCAATGCGGACACCAGCGACTTCTTTGCCCCGATATGAGAAACATGATAGTTGCCTCATGAGTACTTACGACTAAAGTTTTTAATGGAAGCATATGTTTAAACCAGGATGTATGCTTATTTTCTCTTCCCAGCTGTAAGTATGTACACAATGCAAGGACATTCATGAAAAACATTGCGCTGCATTTTTTTTTTTGTAACTCACGTAACCGAAAAGTGGCCGAGATAAACGTATGATGATACATTTTGACATCAATGACGTTTTTTCTTTGTCCAAATGGAACAACTAAAGGCTGACGGAAGCTGTCCACTTTGGCCCGCGCATGCCATCCAATACAAAAATCTTCCAGCTCTGTTATTAGCGGGACAAAACGCATGAAAATTGGCAGAGGAAAAAACCGGCTTTGGAAAAAATAACTTAACAACCGTAAGAATAGTTAGTAACCTGGGTAGAAAATTCCGCGTGTCACGGAACAATGGCGACAGGCCGGAAACTCTGGCGTGGCTCATTCGAACGACCGCGGAGCGAACTACAATTGGCGACCAAAATGGAGTTGACGGGCTAAAACGCGGAATTGGACTTTGCCCCGGGTGGCCGCTTTGCACCGGTCTACTGCATAAGTACTTTATGATACTACAACTCGCTTATAAACTGCAGCTGCCCAAATCCCATGTGACCCTTTAAATGCCTTGCTTATATTCTGTATCTTGGATTCACAACCAGCGTTACCAACAACCGTCATGCAGAAAATACTCGTAAAAATACCCCGGCCTAGGTGTAGGGCACACCGAATCGCCTGAGCAGTGATTTACTCTCGGTGAACACCGAGCCATGCAATGAAACCATCGCGATCATTCCACTGGTGATGCATAGGACCCCCCCCCCCCCCCTAACGCACCGGATACACGCGGGGTGAGCAGTATGCGCCCTGCGCAGGCATTCAGTCTGTGCGGCTCCGCACAGGTATCTCAGTTCCGGTGAATGATTCATGCTTACATAACCGTGTTCAATTACGTGTGTGGTTTTGGTATGCATTTCTGTTTTCGAACTGCAGTTTGTCCCTCTCAGGAAATAATTCACTTTACGTAACCGTTGATGATTATGTAAATTGGCTGGATGAGTAAGAAACATATATTTTTGAAATAAATGAAAACCGAAGGTCTGCGTTGGGATGTCTCCAATCAGTGCCATGTGAGAAACTCGTGTGTAAACTTTGTGAATGCCACAAATGTCTATTTTTGCGCCCGTGGACAGAGAAAAGCTTTACTGCTCGTCACTGTTAGTCGCGCCCATCAAGTACATTTATCGGCATTTATTTTATGTATAAAATATAAATACAAACGTTACCTCCTGACCGATATGTGGATTTCGTTACCGACATGAACAGATCAGGACACTTACCAAAGCGTTAGTAGTAAGTACCTACAGAGAAGATATGACGTAGATATGACGTAGATACCTGTAGATATGACAAAATCAAATTGGATATAGATGACTCTTCATGGCTCTGAGTGGAAAATAAGGATATCTTTTCCAAGCGGGCTACTGAACCGAGCGACGAAGGAGCGAGGTTTTTCTGGAACACTCGAGAAAAGATACCCGATCTTCCACACGAGTGAGCCATGAATATTCCTATATATCTCTGTGTGTAGAGGTTTATTCATAATTATGTAAATATATTCAAATGTATTTATTTATGAAAAACAATTTTTTATTTATAAGTTTTATCTCCAAATCATCAAAATATGGTTTGGTTATTGACGCATCATCACTTGGACGCTTGCTTTTTGGCTATGAACCCTTGCTACTTATTACTTTATCCTTGCATGTCAGAGGAGTGATAAATAGAAATATCCTTGCACTGTAGACCCAATGGCAATTAAAATCACTAGAAAGATAAGATAAATCGATGGCGACTAATTTTACGGAGAAGGTGTTGCTTTTCTCGATATTTAATTAATAGTAAAGTTTTAAATTTCACAGAATAAATTCAATTAAAAGGCTTCAATTAAAGCGCACCTGCGCTTTTGATGCCTATGAATCACGAACGTATAAATGAACGTACGTAATAAATAAACGCACGGACGTATTATTTATACGTCCGTGCTATGAATGCTCACTTTTCATTGAGAGGTATTTAACTACCAGTCACGAGATATGTCATTACTCTGAAAAAATCAAGCCGTTGCAAAACGACAAAGGCGTTCCCAAGCATCGGGGTCGTATGCGGTCACTTTCCTCATTCGGCATCGAACGGTATTTAGGCCGTGGGTGGCATAAACGAACAACAAACGTCATGTGGATGCGTGCTTATTTATAGACATGGTTATTGTATTCTTGCTTTTCTTAAATTGTCTTTATGACTTGGCCATAAATGCGGCAATATCACAAAGAGAGCTGGATAAAACACAAAAAGAAAGTTTGCAATATCGAGAAGTGGACACTCTTGACTCGGGTGATGCTACTACATTTCAAGAAAATTCAATTGCAGCTCGTAAGGTAAGGTGAAACAGACGGCATATTCTTGTGGAAAATTATGAAAATTAGTTCATAATAATTTATAGAATAAATAAGGGCCTATTTGTGACTTCTGAAAAAATGTTTTCAACAATCTGATAAAGTAACGAATCCTGCGTATTTTGTGTCAGGCTCGCCGACTCTCAGATTCACTGGAAACAACAGAACCAAATCAGCAGCAGCGGTTCCGGCAACGGAGGTATGTCTCGTCAAACACGGCTCCTGTTCCTCTTTAATGTACTTACAACATGGGCGGTCGTTTTTAAAACTCAGTTTCTTTAAGCTCTTGGACAAGTCACAATAAATCAATATGAAGAATGAATATAATTTGGGAGGTAGGTAGGTACTTAGTTTTTTTTTTTAGCATTGCTCATTGCTCGTCCTTTGAATATAATAGCTTCATAAAGTTTATTGAGAAGTCTAAAATACATTGAACGATGAAGTATAGGTAGGTGAACTATAGATGTCACCTGATGAACGTGTGTCCCATTTACGTTTTCCAGAGAAGCTGTGGTGAAGAAGAATGCCACCATGACGGCTGTGATTAACGGCATGCCCGTCCAAATATCACCCCTGTCGCTCGACTCGGAAGGTTCAGCCTCCGTCGATCTCAGCGGCGTAAGTCGAGCGCTTAAAACAGCTTTGTTCGTGGTGTGGGCGACTCACTGGCGTCGGTCACTGGCTCACCGGCTTTGACCATCCATATCACCCAATAGGCACTGTATGACCGTAAGCTGCCCCGTTATGTTGGCATTGATGTTCGATGGTCACAATGTGACCAATCTATAGTAGTTCCTTATAGCTATCCTACCAGTAAAACGCCTTTTGGGCGAAGAACGAGCGAGCGAGATAGTGAGCCCTGCACGTACGGAAGGGCGAGAGGGTACTTCCAACGGACTTGCGCAAAGCACCCTTCTAACCGGTCGATAGCCGTGTGCCAAATTTGAACGCAATCGGCCCAGCCACTCCTGAGATCTGGAAGCGGCATTCTGCACGTGCGCACGTGCAAACGGGGTCCAAACTGACTTTTGCACGACACCCTACTAACTGGTCCCCAACCGTGTACCAAATTTGAGCGCAATCGGCCCAGACGTTCTCGAGATCTGGAAGCGCCCCCTGCACGTGCGCACGTGCAGTAGCACCCTAACCGCAACACATGGGAATGCATTGCCTGGTGGGTGCTTACCTGTATGCCAAGTTTCAGCGAAATCGCCCCAGTAATTACCGAGTTATTAAAATGGGAACAAATTTGACACCTCTTATTGTTGTATTTTGCACGTGCACTGGGGGTGACCCACATGCATCGAGAGTATCTTATTTTTGGTAGAAGGGATGCTGCTACCCTACAAAAATTACCGCAAGTCAATCGCCCAAGCGGCTGCTGAGATATGAGCCTCTCAAAATCACTACTCTTGCAAAACAGCTTGAACACCCTTGACTTTTCACGTGACACGTGCCACGACGGTCCCTGAGGTGTATCAAAAGTAGTCAATTACGGGGTAGAAGGGATGGGGTTACCCAGCAAAAAAGACCGCAGGCCAATCGGTCCAGCGGTTGCTGAGATATAAGCCTCTCAAAAGCGTTACAGGCCGGGCCGGGCCGGGCCGCTCATACTGAGATTTTTCCGTTATATTGAAAAGACTCGCTTCGCTCGCTGCGCTCGCTCGCTCGTAATAACCGATGACCGTCCCGACTATCTTATGGCTGCATTATGGCCATCTTATGATTGTTCTGAGTGTCAATTGACCGCCTTTGACCTCCATGTATCTGCCCAACGACCGTCATCTCATGCCTTTCCGTTGGTGTCCTTTAGCCGTCCTATTACTATCCTGCCGGTCGCCAGTTATCGGTCAGCTCTGACGACGCGGACACCGTGACGGGCGAGCTGGTGGCGGCCGACGAAGTCGGAAACATGGCCGCCGGCATGGCTGAGCTCGAGATGCCGGCCAAGGGAGCCAAAGGGCCTGTCTACGAGCTGGTCGGAGCCGGCGTCCGGCTGCAGCCGCCCAAACAGCGCCCCCGACCGCCCCCGCCCCCGCCCCCGCCGCCGCGACCCCGGCCACGGCCGGCCAGCCAAAAAAGCGCAGTGGGAGAGGTGATGGTCAACATACAACAGGGTGAGAGACTGAGGGTGGTGAATCGTCTGATGAGCTCAACTGAACTTTAAGCCTGCTTATTTAACTTGAGTTTTTTTCTGCTGCAACCTTTGTCGTTGATTCGTTGCTTATGAATTGTTATGTTTCCCTCCGAATGGGCCTGGTCGATCTTCCGTCATTGTTTTTCTTTCCCACTGTATTATATTATTTCCTATGTTTTCAGACGACCAGAAGCGTTTCGGTAAGAAGCCGCAGCGCCACTGGTGCGACCTGGGCGGCGTCTGGATCAACGACGAGGGCTCGCTGCTGCTGACGCTGGGTTTTCCGGCGGCCGACCGCACCGTGCTCTCCGGCTACCTGAGCCAGGTGTCTGTGGACATGACGCCCGAGGATCGGCGGCGGCGGCGGCGGCGGCGGCGGGAGGCGGACACCGCCACCGAGCCGCCGACGCGGCCGCCGCCGCGGTTCCGGCCGCCGCCGGCCGGCGCCTCCGGGCTGCCCTCCTCGCTCACCAATCGGACGGCGCTGCAGGGCTCGGCCGTGTCGCGCGCCGGCCCGTTCGCGCTGGCCACCAAACACAGCGGCGGCGCCGTCGGCAGTCTGGTCGGACAGTGCCAGACGTGCGGCGGCCTGGACACGATCGTGGCGCACGTGTTCGCCGTCTCGGAGGTGTTCACGTGTCTGGACGCCATGTGGAACCAGAAGGCGGTGCGCGTCATGTTCAGGAAGTGGGGAGAGCGGCATCGGCGCCGCCACCGGCCGCCGCTGGAGCTCGACACGGAGGTGGTGATTAAACAGAGGGACCGGGGGCCGCAGCGACCGCCGCCGCCGCCGCCGCCCCGCGAGGAGACCATGGTGCGGACTGAGGAGGTGGTTGATAAGTACGGTCAGAGGTGAATGTACCATTCGTAACAACCAGAGCTCCAACGCACTGAATTTGATTTCCTGCCGATTTTATGATAGAAAGTTGGGTGTTATTTTGTGCTCCACCAGATGAATGTTTATGACGCGCAGAATGTTAATGACACGCAGCTCTTTCAAAGAGTCCGCAACCTAGGCATGATATGTTTAGGTACTGTGCGAATGTACGGCCATTTGAAATGACCTTCGAAGATTGAGGTATGGGACACGGTTCGTCGGAAGGTCATCTCAGGCTCAAAAGAAACGATATATACCATTCGAAAGCTGGCGATGAGCTGAATCCAAAAACGTAATTTTTATCAAAATCGATCGATGGCCTTTTTTGAAAATTGCGTTTTTGTAAAAACTTAATAATTTTTTATTCAACGGGCTGTCCCGGACATTCTTGAAAACATAAACATATATTTTTTAGTTCCAGTGAAAGCTGAACGCCAAAAGAACAATATTTAGCGAAGCAATATTTCCAAACATTGATATGTGTCTCCCACAGCCGACAAATAAGGCGCAATCACACAGCGCAGTGCCACGATGGACCAAAGTCAGCCACACAGAAGCGTGAAATGACCCTTATCGACTCGCAGACCCGGCGCTCTCGGCCCGCCTGACCGGCCACGGAAAGAACGTTCGGCTCTCGTTCTACTAAACAAATGTCATATTTGTCAGTTTAACTGTCCACATCGCTATTAAAGTTATTCAGGATACATGTGAAGAAAATTCATTGTTCTGTCATCTTCAGATCATGCATTAATTTGCATTTGTTCATGTCTACTTTGCTTAATTGAGCTTGGTATCATGCCCATATAAGGAAAATTGGCCGAGCTGAAATGTCAGAGGTTGCACCGGCCTCAGCTCGGGTGGAGTGGGGGTAGCGCCCGGTGGGGCATGGTAACCTTTGACCGGTCGCACGGCCGAGCAGCTGTCACCAGTACAGCCTCTGACAGTGAAACCCCGCTCACTTCCCCTGCGCGGGCACTGAGCGCAGCTGGATGGAACAAAACATGTATAAGAAAAATGTAAAATAAAGCATGTTGTAAATCAAGCAGAACAATGAATTTTCTTCACAGGTATCCTGAATAACTTTAATAGCGATGTGGACAGTTAAACTGACAAATATGACATTTGTTTAATAGAACGAGAGCCAAACGTTCTTTCCGTGGCCGGTCAGGCGGGCCGAGAGCGCCGGGTCTGCGAGTCGATAAGGGCCATTTCACGCTTCTGTGTGGCTGACTTTGGTCCATCGTGACACTGAGCTGTGTAATTGCGCCTTATTGTCGGCTGTGGGAGACGCATATTAATCTTTGGAAACATTGCTCCGCTAGATATTGTTCTTTTGGCATTCAGCTTTCACTGGAACTCAAAAATATATGTTTATATTTTCAAGAATGTCTGGGACAGCCCGTTGAATAAAAAATTATTAAGTTTTTACAAAAACGCAATTTTCAAAAAAGGCCATCGATCGATTTTGATAAAAAATACATTTTTGGATTCAGCTCACCTTCAGCTTTCGAATGGTATATACCGTTTCTTTTGAGCCTGAGATGACCTTCCGACGAACCGTGGGGACTGAGCGAAGCGAACGAAATACGACGAAATATATTTCCACATGTGACATTATTTTTGAGGTGTTACATCCGGTATTGAAAAAAAAAACACCTAGCAGCCTTCGTAACTCGAATGGGTTAATCTTTTATTGTATATTTCACACATGACAGACATTTATTTCCAGCTGACCTGCTCATCATCAAGAAGATGACATTCGAAGCACACATCCCAGTTCGAGCCATGGAAGATTTCCAAAAAGTCATATCGAATATCGATCATAAAAATCATATCAATTGTGTTGAAAGAGAAAGTTGTGTCGGCACATGCACATTCATATCAATCCGGTAATAGATGACGTGACCCGCCCGGCCCGTTCACACAGCGCCCCTGGCGGCGGGTTCTGGAACTGTAGGTGCGCGCGGCGCTCACTGGGCAGCCCAGACGGCGCGGCTGAAGCGCTGTGGCGTTGGTCGCTTATGCGGCTCGATGTGTTGGAGCGCGGGCAGGGCCGGCTGTCACTTGTGGTGCAGGCCGTACTGCTGGAGGCCCGGCGGCAATCCAGTGGCGCCAGCGCCGGCGGACGGCCTCCGGACAGACGAGAAGTGGCCGGGCGCCTGGGGAGGCGGGGAGCATGGTTAGCGCTGGACGGGAGGCAGGGGACCGTCTGAACTGAGACAGATGGAAGTGACTTGCGAAGCTCTTGAAAGACGCTACTTAGATCACCGCCATGAAACATATTCATGATATCAATGGGCTACATTCATGGGATTGTGCTCAAGAAGCGAGGTCGTCACTTCTTCGTTGGGCTATGCGGTACAGCCTACCTCTCAGTAAGCTATACTGGCGCCATCTATGATTAAGAAGATAAGTTCGTTTCTCGTAGGTACGGTCTCGATTGAAATAAACCATCGTGCTTATATTAAATCAACCATCACCGTCATATGCAGCGCTTATCACTTCATCACAGAACAACTGCGTGGTGTAATCACGGAATGATAAACGGAATTACTCAAAATCTATCCGTAAACACTCCCTAGTGGACCCTCCTGCTACGAGTTCAGCGTTTGGGCTGGGGTCCGGTCGCGCGCTCCAACTCACCACGGCGGACGCCTTGTCCTTCCTGATGCTGGTGTAGTCGAGACTGCGTACGAATGCTGCCTTCAGCTGGGAGAGCACCGGCCGGCCGTGGCGGCCCGGGGGCTCAGACGGGCTGCCGCTCGAGGTCAGCACGCTCTCCAGACTCTGCTGCTTCCTCAGACTGCTGGAGCGCACGTCTGGAGCGCAGGAGATGAGGCACACTCGTCAGGCGGGAGGTCAGGTGGAGCAAACACTTCCGCTCTGTTTGACCGCTCTGACTCTTTGGACCAGTCTGATCTTTGACCCGTCTGATATGACCTTTCTAAACTATCTGGGGCCGTATTCACGTCGATTATTTTCGTAAGAATTTTCTTACGCACGACCTACTTCTTACGAAAATTTGGTATTCACGTCGACAGCAAAAATATCTTACGAATAAAAAAATTCTCGTAGACAGTTTGCGATTCACGTCGACCTTTTCTTAAGAATTCTCGTAAGAATGTCGTAAGTGCGATTCACGTCGTGTCATCTTAAGAATTTCTTAAGTTTTTCGTAAGAACATAATGTTAACGGTATGGTGGACTTACGAATACTCACCGAGCTGTCGTAAACTGACGCAACGATAAATCAGTGCAGTAGGCTAAGACTAAAATGACGAATTATTTTAAGAATTGACACTAACGGTTGTCTGGACTAAGAATGGCTGTTATTATTGAGCAAAATTATTACCAGCGAGCGAGTGAAGCGAAGTCTTTTCAATAAAACGGGAAAATATCAGTATGAGCGGCCCGGCCCGGCCTGTAATGCTTTTGGAGGCCTATATCTCATCAACCGCTGGACTGATTGACCTGTGGTCTTTTTGTTGGGCTGCCCCATCCCTTCTAACCCGCAATTTACTATCTTGATGCATCTAATTGACCATCGTGGCACGTGTCACGTGAGAAGTCAAGGGCGTCCAAGCTGTTTTGCAGAAGTAGCGCTTTTGAGACTACCAATTTCTCAAAGTGGGCTTATATCTCAGCAACCACTGCATTAGGACGTTTGACTTGCGGTATTTTTTTTTTTAGGGTAGCTGTAGCCCTTCTACTAAACATCGGGTACTCTTGATTCATGTGAGTGACCACCCGCTGCACGTGCAAAGTACAAACAGGTGTCACGTTTGTTCTTATTACAATAACTCGGCAATTACCGGCCCGATTGTGTTGAAACTTGGCATGTGGGTAGGCACCTACCGGGAAATGCGTTGTCATATGTCACGGTTGAGGTGCAACTGCACGTGCGCACGAGCAGGGGTCGCTTCCAGATGTCGAGAACGCCTGGACCGTTTGCACTCAAACTTGGCACACGGTTATAGGGACCGGTGCGAAGGGTGCCGGGCAAAATCCAGTTTGAACCATTTTACACGTGCGCACGTGCAGGGTGCCGCTTCTACATCTCAAGAACAGCTGGGCTGATTGCGCTGAAGTTTGGTCAGCGGCCAAGCCGATCAGCGGCCAAAAGGCTGGGGGGTCTTACGGACCCCCCAGTGGTGTAACTTTCTATATGTATGGGGGTACAGGTGCTTCCCCATCCACTAAAAGTGCATGTCCATCAATGCCAAGAAATAGGGCACCTCATACAGAAGTTGGGCTTGCCCAGTAGAAGAGGGGCGCCCCCAGCACTTAACAGTGGCGCATTTTTGGAACATTTGGAAGTCCTTCGCACTTCTGTACAGTGCATGTGTGGGGGGCTTACTCGCGCGCTGGCTCGTTTGTCGCCCCCAAAAGGCGTCTTGCTGGTTTGACTAAAATGAAATGCACAAATGCATGGATAGTTGTAGAAAAACACGGAACAAATAGTGCATGGACGCGTTTCGATTATTAAATCTTCATCAGCATGACATAACCACAAAGAAAACAAGATATCTTGTTTTCTTTGTGGGTATGTCATGCTGATGAAGATTTAATAATCGAAACGCGTCCATGCACTATTTGTTCCGTGTTTTTCTACTTGTCTCTATCAATTATATAGGTACAATGGATAGTTGTGTAAATCCCTACAAGGAGGATCCCTAAATCTCAATGATTAAGGCAAAGGTCAATGCACCAAACGCTTCTTACGAATTTCTTAAGATATTCCTACGAATTTTGACGTGAATACCGATTTTTGTAGATATCCAGACATTTCGTAAGAAAAAACTTAAGAAGTGTCGACATGAATACCAAATTATACTTACGAAAGAAAATTGACTTACGAAGTCGACGTGAATACGGCCCCAGGTCCTTAACCTTTCTAAACTATCTGGTCTTTTGACCTCTCTGACTCTTCTGTCCTCTGAACCGTCTGACCTCTGACCCGTATGACCTCTAACCCATCTTACCTCATGACCCATCTGTCTGACATCACCAACCTGAGTGGCCGTGCGCTCGGGTCACTGTCTGCACACTGTGCCGGTGTTGGGCGCTCGAGAAGCGCGGTGCCGCCGCCGGTTTGGCGGGCGACCCTCCGTCTCCCGACTGTTTGGGAGGCCGCGGCGGCGAGGGCGGTGTGTGTCGGCTGGTAGGGGACGGCGTCTTACTGTCGCCGGCGTCGTATGGCTTGCCTCTGGCTAACTCCACCCCGGCGACGGACCGCTTTCGGCTGGGGAGGGGTCAGAAACTGACATGGTGGAGGAACGGCTGGCGAAGGGTCTGGTACGCCAAACATTTCTCGTGATTGTGACAGTGACAACAGTGGCAGTCACGTGTCCGTCCAGTTGAAACATGCCAGATGTTATGAATTGCTCAGCCACGGCTCAGTTATGCCTCACCTCCCCCCCCCCCCCATCATCCCTCACTTCTCAACCCACCCTCCAACATAAAGCGATAACCGGTAAGTACCAGTTAAACCTGTTCACACTCACTCTAGGTGCGTGGGTCGTGTAGCGGCCGGCGCCGGAGGTCGTTCTCGGGAAGGCAGCGTTCGCCCGGTGCGCGCGTGACCCTTCTTCTGTGCTATAAAGTCGTACAGCCGAGAGCGGTAGGCCTCGACACTCAGCTGCACGCTGTCGTTGACCGGTGGCACGATGGCGTGTCCGAAAGTCGGCTCTTTGGCAGGATTGTGGAAGCTGCAAATGGAAACACGAGCCCCCGGATGGCTGGTAATGCGGTCTTAGTGCCGCAAAAAGAACAGCTCATTAACTTGTATGAATAGCGTGCACGTAGCTTACATAGAACGAATGAAATATATAGAAGGAATATCCGTGATAGATTATACCTACATAGAACGCAAAAACTAATCGTTCATTGAGAGTATGCCTGGAAAAGACTTTTTTCTCTCCGTCGCTTGGCAACATTTACGTCAGCGAAGCGTGATCAATAGCTATTGCATTTAGCCAGCTAACACCCGAGAATGTGTGCGCTATAGCTGACTTCCGGGGCGAACAAAACACCCAAACTCATCTGGAGGGACCTGGATTTCAGCCACAAGAAAAGCACAACCGCGCGCCTGAAGGCGCTACCATCGTCGACCAACCCTCCGCTTTGCTTGTGTCGCCTTACCTCTTGACGTAAGGGTGCGTAGGAAACTTACTACTCATACTCACCCCTTGACGTGGGAGCGTGCGGGGACTCACCCTTAGCCGCAGGGGTATGCAGCGGCACTCTCACTTTTGACGAAGGTGTGTATACTCGGGCGTCGCTCGAGCAGGTGTGTATAGGGCACTCAGTCTTTGACGCAGGTTTACGTGAGGCTACTCACCCCTTGACGTAGGGATGGCGGAGCGCCTGTTCGGCGGTCAGACGCCGCGTGGGGTTGAAGACGAGCAGCTTGGTGACGAGATCCATGGCGTCGGGTGGCGTGTCGGCCGGCAGCAGGGCCGTCAACGGCCGGCGATGGGTGAGCACGGCGCGGTCCAGCAGCGACGAGGCGTACCTGAGGTCAGAGGAACCGTCAGATACGTCAGCCGAGACGAGAGGCGCAGACGACAGGTATGGAGGGGATACCTGAGATCAGCGAATCCACTTCCAATCGGGACGAGGGGCACCGGGGGGCAGGAGGTTATGACCGGAAACCAGAAGACCTGAAGTCAGATACCACGGTCACTCTCAGCCGAGACGAGGGATGCTGATCTCGGCATGTCGCGGTAGGAAAGGAGGGAAACCCCGAGGTCAAGAGGTGGCGGTCCACAGTCCCAGAAGCTAATGGGCGGTCAGTAGGTCACGGCCATACCCTTATAGAGCAGTGCGACTGCGGTCGGTCTGTGTGTATGGGAGCGGCGGGTAGGAGTGACTGGTACCGTATTGATCAGTCTGAATGGGCACACCGCTACTCGGCCCGTCTCCAGAATGAGGTCAGCGGCTACCGGTGGGCCCGATACCAGGACCGGCAGTCGGGACTGGCGATGCATTGAGAACTCGATAAATCGACAGACCAGCAAGCACAACAAATCGACCGGGAGCAAGGAAACTTTTGTTTTACAAGCTGAATGAACGAATATGCTGGTCACCTAGCTGATCATCAATGTAGCTGGATTGCTGTATGTTTATACGAATGCTTGCGTAACACTGCACTCTCGTCACAAACGTCATGGCGATTACTCCTCAATAACGTCCACTGCATGACTAGCATTATCGTCCTCGTTGTATTGACCATCTATTACGGTGACTGTTCCCGATTTAGCCTGTTGTGTTCACAAACATGCTCAGTAGACTGTTTTCGATTTAGCCTATTGTGTCTGCACAAACATATCGAACTATGACAAAGTACACCCTGCCACGGGCGGTCCCGGACCTCGGAATAGCGCCGCGACTCACCCTGAGCACACGGAGGCGACGTCCTGCGGTGTCGGAGCGTCCAGCGTGGCCATGATCCGCTCGATCTGGTTGACGGTCGAGGTGCCGGGGAACAGCGGCCGCTCCAGCAGCATCTCGGCCACGATGCAGCCCAGGCTCCACATGTCCACACCCTTGGTGTATCTGATGGATGGACAGGGAGGTGTTGATTGGACTCAGTGGGGGACTGTCGAACTTCGACCAGCCAACATAGAATATCGACCATCGACACCAGACCACCGACCATTGTCACCAGAACACCGGCCATAGTCATCAGACCATCAACTATCGTTCGAAGAGAGTAGATTAAAACTATCGACAATCAAATACCGATCATAGTCCCCAGACCAGATACAATGCGATGCGACCTCAGCTGCACAGCATTAGGTACCGATCGCCAATCTACCAATTCGGCCCACATACCTTACTTTATCGTGACCTTTCCTGACAGGAAAAATCCCAAAATATTGCTAATGGCTAAACCACATTTAAAGATAAGTTATCCGCCCACCGAAAGGTAAACTCATCTCCCTCCCCACATACACCATCTGCGTCATGATGATGATTGGGGATTAGCCTGCGGCCGCCACCCCTCCGTACGTCATCACCGCATCCCAAACTACACCAGCTCGACAGGAACACGCGGATCAGAGCCGAGCCACCGCGTCCCTCTGGTCGCCATGGCAACTCACGTTTTGGCCGAGAGCAGGATCTCGGGCGCCCGGTACCAGCGGGTGGCCACGTAGTCTGTAAGGGGAGGTTCCGTCTCGCTGCTGTTCGTCTCTCGGCTGGACAGCGAGCGCGCCAGGCCGAAGTCGGCGATCTTGACGTTGCAGTCGGCGTCCAAGAGAATGTTGGAAGGCTGAGGAGAAGGATGAGAGAAATCGATAGAGATAAGAGACATCGCTTTAGACGTTCAAAGGCTAGGTTTACTATGTCCGGTAGCTGACGGCTGTACCTATATGTAATTCCACGACTTTATGACATAGGGGAAGTTGGGGGAACGCCGAAGACTTTTTTTCTGACGCCCGTAGCACGCAAGGTAGACAACATAAGCTATTCTTGTTGGCGTCATTCGAGAGACCAGTCTTTTGCCTTTCAAACATACCAGGCGCATTTGATGAATTCGCATACCGTTAAGCGCACAAACTAAAAATATCAAAGAAGTGACTTTTTCGGCGTTGCCCCGGACTGCGGGGAAAGCCGAAAATGGGAGAAATGATCTACGGGGAATGCCGACATTGATGTTTTGCCATTTTATCTCAAACTTTATCCAGAATTCATCAAAGCTGACACGCGTTTTAAGAGTTTGAGGACGCGGTGCACACTGGAAGTTATAATTGTGTGATATAATAAGAAAATGCCAGGTAAATCATTCCTTATAGGTAACAGGCCGTTGTGTCGGTTGAAAGTGTAATTTGTGTGACTAAAAATACGTGTTGCTATTCTACAGCAGTAAAGTCCACGTAGCGTGCTTTTAACACGTGCGTAATCGCACGTTTTCGGCATTACCCCAGCCAGCCATACTTTCATTTGCAGGCCCATAACTTTTCAACGTGCTGTATAAATTTCAAATAGGCAGCACACTTATGCAAAGACATGCTAAAGATTACTTGACCGAATTGGCCAGACAAACAGTAGCATAATGAGTAAGAAATGCAGCTTCAAAGGCGCATGTAGTACAAGGGAAACGTACCTTGAAAACGCTCTTGGCGCCCTCACAGTCGAAGTATTCCGAATGACGACTCGTAACAAACATGCGATAATTGTAGTCACTTAAGCTTCAGAGCATCACTGACAGGTGGCATCCATGTCTTACGGTTTTCGAAATATCTCGAATTTCGGCTTTGCCCCAACTCCGGCATTGCCCCAACTTCCCCTACGAATCGCAGACTTTTTTGTAATAACAGTCATGAGCATTTCTCGTGACTTCTCATCGCGGATTTGTGCGTACTGACGTCATTACGAATGTATTTATACCTTCTGCCCCCAAATTGGCTCGCTAAGTGGTTCCGATCCGGTCAGTGTGGGTGACTGCTCCACACCGGTAACTCTGCTAAAGTGGCCACTAATCAGAGGGTTCAGATTCTGGTCAGGGTCACGAGACACCGCCCACACCTCAGGTGCAGATTACCGGTCACGCACATAACCCGATCCCGGATGTTTGATCCGAGCTACTGCCAAACGATTGTCGTTAGAGACAACAAAATACACATTTGTTTTAACTATCTTTGTTTTTTTCTGGTTGTTCCCCGTCTAGTATCTCCCTATAGCCTCGCGTAGAGCCCACATAACACAGGCAAGCTTGCATCCTCCCTAAGAACAAGCTGATTTTGCATGTGAGTCCCCACAAGCCGCTCGCTCGGCATTCTTCAGTTGACAAACTGTCTGCAGAAGCATTATAAACAAACGCCCCGCGACCTTGGCATTCCTGAGCCGTTCGCCGCAGTCGGGGCTGTCTGGTATTGATCTATGCCCTTTCGACAGGTCAGGCGACCCTCAGACATGGCCAGAGTGGTAGCGGTGACCTGATTCGGGCCCCGCCGAGGTACTCTGGGTAGGTCCGGCGCGGCGTCCGGCGTCCGGCAGCCATCGACCGTCACATTCCGCGGCTGTGTTCAGCCCGCTCAGCAGCTGACGCCGGCGTCACGCGTCACGCGTCCCCCCCCCTCCCCCTACAGCCGAGCCGCGGCCCAGTGGTCAGCTGGGGGTTTAATCGACCGCAGGGGAGATCGACCCACAGGGGGAGAACCAGAATCGGCACGGCGTGGCGGGCTGCTGGAAGCCACGGGACATTTAAACACAGGCGCCTACTCGTATACCTGTCCGACCTGGAAAACACATTATTTTGTTTGAGGATACGATATGCAGCTTCCTTTATTACAAATGAGATAGATAATCTCACTAAATCTATCTTAGAATAGATAAATATGTGCACATCTTTGAAACTAAAGCATTGCTCTTTTGAACTTATCGATAATCGCACATAGCGCACAAATCGCAAATCGCAGGTGATATGTTTACGTAGCCTGCCACCAATCAGTGATTATCGCGTCTTGTACACACGTCGGCAGTGTCTGTCGCCTGACGCCTGACATATGACAGCCGGCAGACTAATCGGACATCGATCACAGTCTGCTGCATCGATAACTCGACGATCCGCATTGCCTGCATAAAAAGCGGGCGGCATAGGGCGCTGGGCGGCTATTCCATTAGCGGCCGAGCGTCGTGCCCTCTCAGCGTGGTTCGGTCGCGTGCGGCGGCTCCCGGCCGTCCCGCCCCTCCCGGCCCCTCCCACCCCCTCGGCGGCGGCGGCTAGTCGCCAGGTGATAGCGGGCCGTCCATCGCCGCCGGCGTTCAACACACGTCACGTGGTCGATGTCCGGTCGACTGGTGCCCCGGGGCCAATGACCTGCGCGTCGCCCTGCCGCCGGCACAGGACGCCGCTGGCGACCATGGACGCGCCGTGGACATGTCGCATTCCTTATCGTTTAACCACCCCTGCCCCGACAACGACAGACGGAGTCCACCCGACACCCTGACCCGTACCCCTGACTTCGACGGACCTAGAATTTGTCCCTGCAACTTGGTCGCAGTGGAATTGAACGATTTTGGATGACAAAAAAAGTTGCCCGCAACCACTCAGGACTTTCTTTCATCCCTCCCTTCCCTGGTCGATGCGAAACGGCCAACTGCTTTGCGGAGCAGCGGCACGAACAGTGAACACTGAACAGACCTCAGTGTTCATAGCGCTCTGTCTGTCAGCGAGGTCAACCATGACCTCTGCCCTCGGCCCTTACCTTCTGGTCACGGTGAATGACCTCAGCCGAGTGCAGGTACTTGGTGGCCCGGAACAGCTGGTACATGATGTACCGCTTGTGGATGTCCTTCAGAATGCCGCGCTTCTTAATCACATGGTGTAGGTCAGTGTCTGGAAAATGGGAAAAGTTGTAATTATTTACGGCTAATGCCACGATTGTTGATTGTTCGTATTGACAGGAAGATGTTTTCGTGCTAACTATTCACCTGATCTTTCCTGGAATAGGGTAAGATATGATTCACGTAAATGTTTCACAGTGAGTTTGTTCCACTTCCTCATTAAACCATTTCACCAAAATGGCATCCTAAATATGGTCTGTCTGGGTACATTTATGTATGCTGAGCATATGCCTCCCTCCTGAGGCTCATATCTCATGCATACCTCGGGCATACCGCCGGCATATTGAAGGTGGCGAACATCCACTAAGGTCAACAGCCATCAACACACCTATGCGGCCGGCTCCTTGCAGTGGAATGTTTGTTAATGGAGTTGTATTGATCGGCGAACAATCTGGAATGCTCTCGTTTGCTACTTCAGTCCAACTATAACGTAGGTACATTATTGCAGCCTGTGAGGTCTGACGCGTACGAGACGTGCGGCTCCGCGGTCTTGCCTTGATTGCCTTCTTTGCTCTACCGAGGAAAGAAAAGAAATCCTTTAGCGAATGCCTCTATCTACTAAGGAATCCTAAGGAAAGAATGCCGTCTCAGTGTCATTCTTTCCCGTCTCGGTTACCGCCACCTTTATCGAAATTTGTTGAGCCCGTGTGACTGTCGCAGTGTCGACAGGCCACCGAGTCCGGGCCGGCCCAGAGCATATATCATTCAGAAGATGTGAGCGGCGCCCTCACCAGCTGCCCGGGTGTCCTTCAACTGACATGACCTCCTGATATTTTTACTGCTGCGGCCAATATGCACGAGCCGCTACACTACATGGGAGCAGCTGTTTACATATAGCCTTTTGGGTTCAGCAGCCGGTTCTTTCTTGTTATTAATTTTAACATTAGAATCAACTTACAATAAATGGTTAATTGAGGAAACCAACGCTTTTTGGAAAATATTGTCATTTTTATCATATAGAGTCCGAAAAAGGAACAATAGATTTTTGTCAGCTCTCGGACTGGAGCTCTGAGTCCTAAGATTGAATGTCGAATTGACTCTCTGCACTTATCCAAGCTTTTACTCTAGCATCATTCCCTAGGCCCACGGACTTTGTGGGGTCCATTTGACCAAATAGATAGTTTTGCGGACCATTCATCTTCTATCCACGTTCCCATGTAAGCACTCGCTACTCAATGCCAATGCGGATATTCATTAGCCATGCATCCATCCGCATGTCATGTCAGTTCAGTCACCCGTTGCAGTGCTCTGACGGTGCACTCAAAAGCTGAGGCTGTCGCAGCGCACTCACCCATGTACTCGAAGACGAGGTAGATGTCTCGGTCGCTGTCGGCGCGGATGACGTTCAGCAGTCGGATGACGTTCGGGTGATGACGAAACTCCTGCAGGAACAGGATCTCGCGGAACGTGCGCTGCGCGTCGGTGGGGTTTCGGAACGCGTCGAATATCTTTTTCAGGGCCACCACGTCTCCGGAGCGTCTGTCGATGGCCTTCCACACGATCCCGTAAGCCTGAGAATGATCCCAGCGGTCAGGTCAGGTCCCACTATACGTCTACTGAAACATCCGGGTGATTTAAATGAAAACTAGTGATTCGAAACGTTCCAATCGGAGATCATCGGTCGATTTAAACATACAATAATGTGCTGATTATGTAGGCAAGAGTCCAGCGGAGGATGCATGAATGAGGGATTTTGGGGTTTGCTTCGCTCCTTCCACAGCGTCTGAAGTTTAAAAAAATCGTCCTTTTCCTCGCATAGAAAGAAAACTGAACTTTCTAATGAAACAATATTTGTTTTATATACTAGGTAAATCGCAACGCATAGCAGAATGTAATACAAGAGATTTCTGGAAATTGAAGAAACTTAACCCGGCCGGGCCCGGGGGGTAATCCCAACCACCGCAGCCCGGGGGGGGCGTTTTTCGCCCCCCCCTGTCTAACTCCGTAAATAAGGGAGCTACGGAAACAAAAGCGATACCAAACGAAAGGTCCTTACAAGACGATTCTAAAGCACCTAAAATTTTTGACCTCAGGTCAATTTTCAAGGTCAGAGGTCAAGGTCAAAGGCAAAAACCGGCATATGTGTAGTGATCTCAAAGTAAGCCTTCTAGAGGACGGCAGGCGGCATCAAACCGGCAAAATTGGGTGTCAAACGAAAGAAGAGAATCTGAGGATTCCGAAAATGTGCTCAAAATTAAAGGTCAAGGTCAAGGTCACGCTCAAAATTGACCTCAAACTTGGCACTTTTTCGCACATCTTGCATGCTAACTTTCAAGATGTTTTAAAATGTTTTGAGGCTTATCAGTTCCCTATTTGTGGTTCCTCTTACGATACAAGGCTGCTCAAAGGTCAAGGTCACTGAAGAGTATCCCTGCTAGAGGCTATTTCACTAATTCAAGTTAGTAATAATAAATAAGACAATTTTGCCATCCGGAAGCTCTAAATGAAGGCTTAGAGGAAAATAGATGCCAGATTCGTGATCAGCGGGTACAAATCCATCATAAACGACCTTTCATGTGTCAAGGTCAACCAGAGGTCATTCGAGGTCACATGAGGTCAACATAAAACTTGACCTTTTCCGAACAAGATATATATCATTCGACGCAGCTTGACAAGGCGAATGCGATGGTACCACTGCCGTGGCTCTAGGACCATTTTTGTCGAAGTTATTTGCGAAAAACTAAAACCACATTTCGGGGTCGTTGACCTGACCTCTGACCTCAGGTCACCAAAACTATTTTTCTATTTTTCTCTAGGTCAAACGCTACACAACCGTGCTCGTAATTTGTCTTTATCTCTAAAACTCTATTTTTAGCAGCTATTTGAAGTTTGCGTCTGTGACGCCAAAGTTTGCCGTGCAGGGGTCTAGAAAAATGGACCTTGTGACGTCATCAAGGGGGCTAGGTCCAAATTTTTTACTTCAGAAGATGTCAAATTGATGGGAGAAAAGGTACTGAAAGTTTCGCTTTCCTATCCCTAAGCGTTCGGGAGCTATCGCAAATATTCGCCAGGGGGGGCGAAAAACGCCCCCCCCCCCGGGCCCGCGAGGGTTAAGGAAGCATGTGCCCGTACCCAGCCCTCAGTGTCCAATGCCTTCTTTCTGGATCTGTCAGTGCTAAAGTTTACTTCTTACTAGCTCTTGTCTGCTCATGAACGTGTTCCATGCTCCACTGCTTTGTTATAACGATTAATTTACACATTTCGTGAAGATAAAGCATGCACATTACTTTAAACTGGAAAGGCGTGTTTCATCCATATAGCATCAAGCATACTTACCCCTTTTCCAAGTCGCTTTCGTATTTCATATCTTTGAGTGATGTGACTGTCAACTTCATTAATTTTCTCACTCCCCTTTGATTCACTTTTCTTTTTGCTTGACGGTACAACCGGCATGTTGTGTTAGTTGTTGATTGCACAGTAGATCAAGATTGCACTAAAATTGCACAGACTCCACTTTCTCCAGGTCGTTGTCGTTTGGACCGTGCTGTAATAAGGCAAAGTGTAAGAACAAGACACCAAATATTTTCAGGATATAAATGCTTCTTGCAGATATGTATAGCGTGCTAACCGTTCATTGCTAATTACGAGCGAGCGAGCGCAGCGAGCGAAGCGAGTCTTTTCAATATAACGGAAAAATCTCAGTATGAGCGGCCCGGCCCGGCCCGGCCCGGCCCGGCCTGTAACGCTTTTGAGAGGCTTATATCTCAGCAACCGCTGGACCGATTGGCCTGCGGTCTTTTTTGCTGGGTAGCCCCATCCCTTCTACCCCGTAATTGACTACTTTTGATACACCTCAGTGACCGTCGTGGCACGTGCCACGTGAAAAGCCAAGGGTGTTCAAGCTGTTTTGCAAAAGTAGTGATTTTGAGAGGCTCATATCTCAGCAGCCGCTTGGGCGATTGACTTGCGGTAATTTTTATAGGGTAGCTGCATCCTTTCTACCAAAAATAGGATACTCTCGATGCATGTGGGTCACCCCCAGTGCACGTGCAAAATACAACAATAAGAGGTGTCAAATTTGTTCCCATTTTAATAACTCGGTAATTACTGGGGCAATTTCGCTGAAACTTGGCATACAGGTAGGCACCCACCAGGCAATGCATTCCCATGTGTTGCGGTTAAGGTGCTACTGCACGTGCGCACGTGCAGGGGGCGCTTCCAGATCTCGAGAACGGCTGGGCCGATTGCGCTCAAATTTGGTACACGGCTGGGGACCAGTTAGTAGGGTGCCGTGCAAAAGTCAGTTTGGACCCCGTTTGCACGTGCGCACGTGCAGAGTGTCGCTTCCAGATCTCAGGAACGGCTGGGCCGGTTGCGTTCAAATTTGGTACACAGCTAGCGACCGGTTAGAGGGGTGCTTTGCGCAAGCCCGTTGGAAGTACCCCCTCGCCCTTTCGCACGTGCAGGGCTCACTATCTCGCTCGCTCGTTCTTCGCCCAAAAGGCGTTTTACTGGTTGTTTACAGCTGGAATAACTCATCGTTTTAAACTTTATGTCGACCATGATTAAAAGTTTTCTTTAAACATAAAATAAATTAACGACAGAACAAAGTCACAGTAGTATGCCTATGCAAGCTATGAAAGCATTAAATGGCACGTACTAAATGCCACGTAGCTTACCTCAGTAGCCCTATTTAGTCGACGAGCGGCAACGTCGAGTCGATGGCGTCGGGTGTCATGCAGTCGGCTCCAGTCGGCGGCGGTGTGAGTCCTCCCAGTTTCGCTGCTGAACACCGACTGTCGGCTGTACAGCAGGCCAGCACCGATCACCCTCGTCGCACGACCAACGAACCACAGCGTCGTCGTCAGATTCGTCGGTTTCGAACTCGCCTGTTGGACGGGTGTCTATATACTCTGGTTGGACGTTTGTACGGACCCCAAGTATTTCGGAATGACCGATTCAATGTTTTAGTTGGATTCAATCAATTGACTGCTGTGTAAATTTTGTGATCGTCGCAAATGATTAAGCAATACCGTACTTATGTGCCTCTGGTTGCGGAGAATGGATTTTCGAAATGTTTTAAGCGCTCTCAGCTTCAGGGCCTATTTTACTTTTATTATTTCAATGAGAAAAAGTAAGTATTTCTACCTTTTCTTTTTAGTTCAAGCGTAATGAGAACATTAATTTAATACATTTTATGTTGCCGCTAAAGTCTAGGAAAGGTGATAACTTCTTGTTGAATATAAGCTTTTTATAGCAACTTCCTGACGAAGAGTTGCTACGCAATGCACTAAAAGAATAGCCATGCGCTTAGCATTTCCTACCTGTATTTAAAATCACAGACGATGACTATATGAGTATGGGAAATAATCCACAGGCCTCCACAAATAAGGTGCCTTCGAATCTATAGTAGCGAACATCGTTTGCCGAAACGTCTTAATAATAGTTGTCTATGGATGGCCGTTTTCTTTCGCCATTATGCGTCGCAACAATGCAGTGATGCAGTGCTGTGTCCGTTCTGCCTAAACATAGGTATACATACTAATCACGCCAACAAGGAAACATAATCTTTTCATCAAGATGTTCTGCTTTCTAGGCACGGTAAAGATCACTGGCATATCACCCGTCTTATCGTTAACAACTGAATTTAGACAACAATGTAGGCAATGTCGTTCGCTCTGCAGCGTTAAGCCAATGTAAAAATAGGCGTACGATGTTCTTTCGATAGCAGACATTGCATTCTAAGTAATGCTGTGAACAATAATCGTATCGCACAAACAAGACTGGAAAATAGAGAGAGAAGGGAAAGAGAGAGAGAGAGAGAGAGAGAGAGAGAGAGAGAGAGAGAGAGAGAGAGAGAGAGAGAGAGAGACCCGCGCGGTGGGGTTTGTTGTCGCGCTGGGTCGGCGCCGCCGGCGGTATCGAGCAGAGAGCGGACGGACGGGCACGGTGGGTGCGCTGGCGAGCCGGGACGACACGGCGGCGGTCGATGGTGCATGATTCACCTGTACACCGGCTATCGACCACACCCGCCTCCCGCGGGCCCTCCCCTTCCCTCCCTCCCCTCCCCCGGCTGGGGTGCTGTCCCCTCTCCCGGTGGTTGGGAGTCACGTGCACTCGGTGTGCCGCGGACCTCCGCGCCGTCCGTCGGTCGGAGTCACCCGACCGTACCAACCGGTATCACCTCCGGGCACAGCGCGGTCCGAGCACAGCCGGAGGGCACAGAGCGGTCCGAGCACAGCCCTGGGGCACAGCGCGGTCCCGTAACAGCCCCGCGGCACACACTGTGCCGCAGGGCTTGGGATAATCACCAATCTCTTTTGTTTCTATACCTGAGATGAAATATGAGCTGGGACTTGGTAGGTCTATGTAGGTCTGCTCTTCTCCAGATTACCTATTAACCTAATTGCTGCTGAAAGATTGGGGGCATGTAAAACAAGCTAGATGCATGCAGTCTTAGATACATGCGTTGTTACAAATATTACTTAATGGAATAATATTCTATTTCATGAAGTGTTTCTTTTTGCTTTGCTTTTCTAAATCACTCCCCAAAACTTTTTATGGAAAGTCAGCGTCAAGCGATGACATACTCAAAACGTTACTGCACTGCTCTTACCGGGCTAATTTATGTTAGACTTACATACCAGAAGATAGCATTCCTCCCCTATTTATCTCACTCACAGCGAGGTTGCTCCTCTGAAAAGGAGGCCGCGAACGGTGCAGGCGGCGGCTGGCCTGGCGGGTATACTGCGCCGCACGACTTCGGTGTACGGCGGCACAGCCTACCCACCCGGTAGAGGCGCCGCCGCGGACTGACAACCGTCCGGTCGGCGGTCTCAGCAGCAGGTGGCGTGCTCATCAGCAGCCACGAAGGGTTCATGGTCGATTTTCTGACATTTGGGAAGCTTTTGCACTGAAAACAATTTCACCCAAAACTGGCGAGTAAACCGGTGCCTCGCGGGTACCCCTATCCGCAACCATTTTTAACCACCCTCTCAGGAGTCAATTTAGGACATAACACTTTCGCAATTCACTCTGGAGAGTAGTAACCCTCCACGACTATTCGCGCACCAGTGGCTCGCGACCCCTCCACCGAAAGGTATTCATCGACGCCTACCTGGCAGCAGCGCCCCACAAACCCCAGGAGAGGGGGTTACCCTCCACGCCTACCCTTCGCCGACCAACTCACGAGGGCCAAAAAACTCCCACGCTTGATCATATTTGCGGGAAAATATATTTATTATGGCAATCTCACACCTAGAAAACATCGGTGAGAAAGTTTCACATCGGTGGGAAAGGTCAAATCGAATTCCCATAGAAATTTCGACATGACAGTCACCGGCAGTCATGCAGACCGCCCGAATTCAAGATGATACGTCGCCACTGCTTTCGTGACCTATATAAGAATCAAAATGGCTTCACTTGGTAGTTTCGGAAGAAAAAGCGTTGCCAATCGTCCCGTGATGAATATTGCAGAGGTTTTAAAGATGCACCCTAACAATTGTACTTGAACCCCCACTTGAAAACCGCCAAACAATGTGCCAATATATCATTGGTTCAAAAAAAGTTAAAGAATTGTTGTAATTCAAAACTGTATGAGACAGCGCCATCTAGTTGTAACAGTAGATCCAACTCCTTCAGAGCAGGTTATGTAAAGGTTCGCCATCCACGGATACGCGTTTACGATACCTCGAGTAGTTCCAACTCTTTCAGTGAGGGCTGTGCCAATGACTCGACACCCGCGGGGACAATATCCGGTGCTGGGTAGCTACCTTAATGCAGACTGTGGGTACAGTGCATATTTACGAGTAATAAGGCAGGCAAGTCTGCTTACACTCTAGCTAGAATCTGGACATGGCGAGTTAATACACATATACCACCCGCAGAGCAACGCTTAATTCGCCAGCTTCGGGTGAAATTGTTTTCAGTGTGGGGAGTCGCTATCCTTTAAGCTTCCAAAGACACCGTTCTGTATTCGCCAATTGACTTTTTTGGGCAATGTAGTAGATTAAATGTAAATATAAAAACGACGTAGCGGTTAATTTGTAGTCATACCGTTTACGTTTGAAGACAGAAAGAATGAGCAATTTTGTCGGCTCCCCTTAGTCCCTCGCTGGTTCGCTAGTGAACGCTCCTGTGTGATAATGATTCAACATATCTACCGTCAACAGCCTACGATTGCAGTAGGTATGCGCCGTAAGTGCGACTGTCCATATTGATTCCCTTGCTGTCAGACAGTTCCTAAGAAGGGAAAATTAATATGCTGTATATTATGCTGCTTATGCAGCATATTACTTTTCCCTTCTTCGGAACTGTCTGACAGTAAGGGAATCAATATGGACCGCCGCATTGTGGAGCTTGATCGATGGCTGTTGCGGGTATCAATCAGAGCGAGACGCGCTGGAAATAAATACGTAATGGCCGATCGGATCACAAAAACGCAAATCAAACAGCATGTATCCTGACTCAATCTTTGATGGAGGCGGGTGCTAAATGTTAACGCATTAGATGAGCTCTCAGAAAAATAAATGCTTATAAGAAAGGTATTATGTAACCTGATAAAATAAATGTAACTAGGCAAATAACGGAGTTACGGAAATATCAAGTGGTACGCAAACGGCAAGTTTCTAATTATGTAATTAAAGTGTGGGACCACCAGGCGGTGCAAGTCATCCGACACGCGACAAGCGCTGCTCGTCCCTGCCCAACAACACCCATGTCTGCCGTCATTGAAGCCGGCTGGTAATACGAATGACCCTGAGGACGGCTGACGCTGCCAATCTTTGTTCGGGCGGCGAGCTCAAAGCCACAATGTTAGACGTCACGGATGCGGAAGGTAAGCAATGTGGGCTTATTATTTCACAGTTGCAGGATGAGCGTACGAACAGGGCGCCGAAATCCCTCACACCATGGAGCGAGGGATTTTAAGCTGAGTCAACTCTCAATACATACTGTTGCGCTGCTGCAGCTGAGCCCATCACGTTAGAGCGGCGATGCCAGGTAGGAGTCCCTCCAACCCGTTATCCTACTACTGTAATCGGCGGGCACCGGTCTAAGGGGACGCTAGTCTGCCTGGGGCTCACCAGTCGACACTGTCACCGTGTCTATTGAACACGCCGACGCACCAGCCCCAGCGTCCGTGCCGGCGTTCCTCTGCTGGTGTATACCCGACAGTCAAACACAATCAACAAACCAAGCCGCCAGTCGACCGCATCTTTTGATATTACGTGTATTTGTATGGTTACAAGAGCTCAGGACAGATGTATCACAGCTTAAACAAAACACATCGCGCGTAGTGAGGACGCCTGGGATAAGCACGCCTCATATAAACCTTCATCCACTCTGCCAACTCAGGACCTTGCCTTCAGTCAGCACACACTCTCGCATGCCTTACACGGAATTATTCCCCCCCCCCCCCCCCCGCCTCCTTCATACCGCTATAAGCCTGCCAGTCCAGCTCTACTACAAAACCGATACGGTGGTGCGTTGCTAGGAAACGTGAACTAAGCATAATACTTACCTACAATATAAAACAGAACGCATAGACCTATGGCGCCCGACTGTGTTCATATAAATAGTTTCCAGGTCCTCTGAGAGAACGGCGCAAATTCGGCAGTTTACCGTAATCCTCCGTCTGAGTCCACCACCATTGTATCAGAGGGAAACGCCGATTACGAACACGCAAAGGTAGCTTCAACACTTCACAATTCCTCAGCGTATACGAGTTAGATCGGTGGCTGCGTATCAAAGTCCACCGGAAGTTCTGCACGGGGTGACGACTCTCGATAGAGACGGTCAATGACGAGCCGTTTGACGGCACTAGCAGAGGTCACTGCAGGCTGCAGCGCCCGCTCCGGAGCGGCGCGCACACAGCCCGGGCCGCTCAGAGTCCTCACTGATCAGCGCAGCACTTCATGTTCTCTTCCATCACTGATCGCTCTAGGGACTTCCACAGGTGTAACCGACGCATCGTCTGAGACACACGCGATGCGTTGGTTTACGCTACGCAGTCCGTGAGTGGTTGTCATTTCGATTACCAGGAACCAGTAACACCGTCCTGGCTTGGGAGCGCGGCTCGTCAGAACGGGGCTGGACGAGACGGATCTCCATCGTACTATTCCGGCACAGCTCGGTGGCCAGCCGACTGGGCGGAGAGTCCGAGATCCTCGCCAGTTCAGCGCTCCAGCGCTGCCGAGACCGAAAGTCTGAGTGTCCACAATAGATGAGTGTCGTGGGGGGCTCCCACTTTGTTCCTTGACCACGTCTATGTGAGTTTCGTGTAGGAAGGTGGCGAGAACCGCCGCGTGAGGAACTTGAGAACGTAGAGCGGCAGGCAGCTGACCAAAGTGATGGCCAGCACCTTCCACAGAAAGTCCAGGCTCTGGATGAACTCTCGATCTGTGGAAAACAGGCAAGAACGCGGTTAGTAGAAGAACAACACTTAACAAGCCCCCGGTCTCCAAATAGCGATATAGACAAAGGAGTTATTAGCGTGAGTGTCACTTCCAGTACGATAATCAGCGGGGTGTCAGCGGACACGTCACTGCACTGTCTCTATGGAGGGCTGGGGGAGGGAGGTAGGACACCGGTAGCAATGAGTCATACAGTCGGTCCCCGGGGGCGGCACGCTACCTCCCCCTCCTCTCCCCCCGCACATGTATCAGACCGAACCCAAACACTGGCCCGTCCCCGTACCACCCGTTCCCGTGCAAAACACACGCACGAAGGGGAGCCGAGGGAGGGTGCCGGCCGACCGGCTCCGCTATGCGCGCGGCCGGCCGGCGCCATACATTATGTAACAGACGGGTAAACATGGGACGGCGTCCGGGCCGCTGGTATACGGTCAACTAGGGAACGGTATTCGTAAAAATTGAACATTAGATAGCTGCCCAGTGCCCATAGTGAACGGGAAGCAGGTAGAAAATTTACAGAAATCTGGTATTAAAATTATCGGGGCTTTGACAGGTAGGCCATGAAAGGAAAGCCAAACTACACCTTTTTAGGCGCAATTTCAAAAAGTCAAAGACCAAATTCAAAAAGTTTACGTTCGAATGCACGTGAACGTTTTGAATTTGGTCTTAAACTTTTTGAAATTGCGCCTAGAAAGGTGTAGAAGAATAGACTGTATGTACTTTATCACAACAATGATGACATTAAGCCTAGCCCCAGACGTCTCTGTTCTCCATCGATGAATCACCGCCAGGCGAGTCAAAGGAACAGCACATCAGTCAGTATATCCAGCGTCTCGCTAACACTCACCAAGCCCCCAGCACTCCCAAGGCACTCGGCAGTCCACGTTACCCCCCGGCACTCACCGAAGACGTCCTTGAGTATGGCCATCGAGATGATGTAGATGGTGAAACTCGCTATCTCGGCAGCGGCCATTAGATAATGCCACGTGCGAATTGTCAGCGCCACCATCAGCAGTTCGGTGACGATCAGCGCCGAGAAGCTGATGCTGACAATGTGGATGAACTCGTCCTCAAACAGCCAGATGGCGCCGTACATCAGAATACCGCCTGGGGCGACGGAGAGGAGGTTAGAATGGGTACCTTGGAGGGGGGAGGGGACGAGGGGTCCGGGACAAGTCTAGACAGGACGTCCCAGTAACCCTTGGAATGTCGTTGAACTGGTCACTTACCGAGGTTGGCCAGCTCCCTGATTTCCTACAGTTACTGCTTTGAATGTTATAGACAGGAAACATTGACTCGAGGTTAGCAAGCGTCTGGATAGATACTCAGATCTGAATACCACTTTTCTTTTTTTACGGTCAGCTGCTACACGAGAAAAAATAACAGAGCACATAGCTTTTAGTGATCACTATACCCAAAAATATTCACTGCTCGCGACTCCTCAAACCCTCGCGTCGTAATCCTTCCCAACGTGTCACCACTCCTTCCAGACACCCTACCGTCTCGCTGACTTACCCTGGTAGATGCTGATGGCCACCCAGAGGAAGAACGTCTTGTAGGAGAGCGAGCGACCCTTGGTGAGCTCCTTGTAGAGCTCCGGGTAGGTCAGGGCGATTTTGGCCGGTACGTCTCGGTCCAGGACCAGCGAGAATACCGGCATGTTCGTGTACAGAGTAGCGTACCTGAGAACGACGAGAACAAGTGAGAGTTAGAGAAAGTGAGGGAAGGAGGGAAAGAGAGAGAGAGAGAGAGAGAGAGAGAGAGAGAGAGAGAGAGAGAGAGAGAAAGAGAGAGAGAGAGAAAGAGAGAGAGAGAGAGAGAAAGAGAGAAAGAGAGAGAGAGAGAGAGAGAGAGAGAGAGAGAGAGAGAGAGAGAGAGAGAGAGAGAGAGAGAGAGAGAGAGAGAGAGAGAGAGAGAGAGAGAGAGAGAGAGAGAGAGAGAGAGAGAGAGAGAGAGAGAGAGAGAGAGAGAGAGAGAGAGAGAGAGAGAGAGAGAGAGACGACAAAGTTGGGAGAGCTGATGTGGGCTGAAAGATAAACACAGAGTTCAGGGAACAATAACGAGTAAAAGTACACGAGGATGAAACGACCCCGTGCAGTCATACGGGTCACTGTTTGTAATCACGCATTGTGGCAACAGCTGCGCAACTAAATAGCACATCGCTAAGACCACGGATCGGGGCAGGTCACAGCCAGCCACAGCGGGCTACAACCAAACTTCCCAGGCTGGTGAGCACGCACCGCCGCATACCAACCAACTTCCTCACACACACTGACTACCGCGTTGCCCACAACACTGCGTTCTGACAATTTTTCCATGTCACGCCAGTGTCCCGTATGTCACACGGGTCTCAGATATGGACGAGGCGGGTCGGCTCGGTCAGGGACAGGGTAGTGCGATCGGCCGGGAAACGGCAGCGTGGGATCCGTCCCCACAGCACACACTACACAGCACTGTAATTACACACAGACTGTCATACAGCGACAGAATGAGGCGGGAAAGACCGAGCGAGGCGAACAACTGACTGCGAATAGACCCGGAGGTAGAACTTTGTAAGAAGTTCGCATAAATATTCAGAGCTAGGAAAATGCCATCACCGGCACAGCCCTCACCCAACACAATCATCAACACACAGCCCACACAGCTCATCTCATCAGTTATCCCGTCACCCGACTCACCCGATCATCAGAATGCCCTGGTAGAGCGCGATGGAGGCGAAGTAGAAAACGGACGAGAAGACAGCCTGCATTGTGGAGATGATCAGACCGCGGTGGATGACGAACTGGCTTAGAGAGGCCGAGCGGTGGTACGAGTACCGGCCGTGCACCAGCAGCAGTCTGAAAACGGTGAAAGATAACGGTCAGATAGGGTCACGGGGGCTTACAGTTGTCTGACAACGGCGGGGAAGGTGGGGTTAGACGAAGCCAGGAGGGGTTACAGCAGTCTGGCAGCGGTGCAGGGTGGGGTTGGCAGAGGTCATATGGGTTCACAGGGGTCACTAGAGTCAATAGCTGATTGTACGGTTGGTGGTAAGCACAGCAGCAGTCTACAAGAGTCACAGACGTCAGCTGATATGGGGTAACAAAAGCCCAGATACACGGCTTACGCTTGACGAGGCCGTTTCCCACATGCAGAAGTCATAACTCCTTCCCTACAATTATAACCAATTAATCATCAGCTACCAACATTACAAACAAAATGGCCCACTCACTCACTTAACACCGAAAAGTCCCTCTAACCCTTTCCATTACACCATCCGCAGTAGCCCTCGCCCAGCCATCACCAGCTCCGATTACAGTGCCGTGACTATCGACCAAACTGCCCCGCTCCCCGTAACTTGTCGGGGGTTCGGGTAAGGCGCAGACAGGGTCGTCATGCGACCGTCTGCGGCCGCGGCACACTGAAAGGACCGGTCTAGCTGATGGACGGGGACATTAAAGAACAGGACACTAATGGACCGAGTTAAGGTATCAACCTCATGGTCGAATTTATGTCAGTTTAGGTCCTCAAGGAGATCACCTGATGTTGCAGAAACGGGAAAGGACGAGACATTGACACGAAATGTAGATTGAATGGTGAAGGCTCGCTGAATACTGAAAAGGCAACTGAATACTGAGCACCGACCACATTTAGCTGAACACCAGACAGACAGTGCCGGCGCGTCGGTCTCTAACACTCCCTCCCTCTCCCCCTCTCTCTCTCTCTTCTCTCCCTCCCTCTCACCTGGCCAGGTGGCAGAACTGGATGATGCTGAAGTCGGCCGCCAGCGAGGCCTGCTTCCCCTCCTTCCCCACAATACCGATACCACAGTCCGCCGCCTGAAACCAGCCACGAAGTTACACGAGGGTACATACATGGAGCTTACGTGAAAACCAGCGCACAGCTCACACTGTCAGGCACAGATCACACAGATCACACACATATGTCAGCGCACATATCACAGATGTCAGTACCCAGAACGGCCAACACCTTGAGTAACAGTGTGCTGTGAGGCAGTATGCACCTCACACTGCAGTACATACCAGGTCCAACAATACCAGGTTCGAGCCCCGTGAAACCCACCCAAGCACCCGAACCTTTTCTACCACCCATACCCTTACCCGGAAACCCGTCGTCCGTCCTAACCCATCCATCCACTTCTCTCCCCGCTATCCCCCCGCCATACCTGGATCATGCTGACGTCGTTTCCGCCGTCACCGATGGCTGCCGTCCGTTTTCCCGTGTGTCGCTGAATGAGCTGCACCACAGAGGCCTTCTGAGTAGGCGAGCACCGACAGACCACCACCGCCGGACACGCGCAGGCCAGCTCCATAAACTCCAGCTCGTAGTAGCGCAGACAGATCTGGAGCGCGGGGTAAATGTGACACTTCAGTGGGCGGGCGGGGTGGTGTTATAGGTAAGTGGGGTGACGGCTGTGTGAATGAACATCACATGCTAAGCTAAAACGTGAATTCACGACCTAAGTCTACAACCCACCCACTTTCACGACAGCTGATCAGCCAGGCAATGAAAGGAGTTTTAACAGTGATATATCTGACCAGTCACGATCCCGAATTATCATCTAAACAATCACATTATTTATAACAATCTGAGCCCCGAAAAAGGATGACATTGCAACGTTCTTCACGTCCAACAGCTATCATGAAAGCATCCTAGAGATTCACCTCTCATCCTTACCAGGGCGTAACTTCCGTCCCTTCCTCCCTGTCCAGTGCCCATCCCTTTCCCACACCTCACCCACCTCCAGAGCGTCTCCCTTGATGACCAGGGCGCAGTCGTTCTTTCTTCTGAACGCGTTCAGCTCCTGATGCGCCTCGGCACGGGTCGAGATAGCCGGGAAGATGTGCAGGTTCTGCGAGCGCGACACCAGCCGAGACGACTGGGCGATACAGGAGGCCGTCTCCAGCTTGTCGCCGGTCAGCATCCAAGTCTGATGGAGAGGGGCGCGGAGTGCGTCACCGAGCGAATGATTTATTGTGCTGTGGCGGGTGATTGCTACAGTCATCACAGCGGGAGGCCACGGAGAGTATTGGGGAATACGACAGCAGCGAGCAGAGTCCGTCAATCGCTTCAAAAACTAACTGACCAAGGTCTACACGTCCAGGACAAGGCCCATATAGGCCACTTTCCCACACTTCGCTGTCTATCCACCGCTCTCCGCCTATGCAACGCTCGCTGCCTATACACCGCTCGCCGCCATACCTTGATGCCGGCGTTCCTGAGCAGCTCCAGCGTGGGCCGCACGTGATCCTGTAGCCGGTCCTCCACACCGGTCAAACAGAGCAGCTCCATCTCTCGCTCGAGGGACTCGACCACGGCGGACACCTGGAGGGGACGGGTGGGTCAGGTCACACGAGTCAATGGGGAGGGGGGGGGGGTATATGGGACCACACAGGGTTACAGGTCATTTGTGGTGGACATACGGTGTCATTAAGACATATCGGTCTGATGGGGGTTTGGCGTCTCTCTCTCTCTCTCTCTCTCTCTCTCTCTCTCTCTCTTCCCTCCCTTCCTCTTTCCCTCTCACCTTAGCAGCCCGATCTGTGACAGACAGTTTGGCGGCGTTGTAGCGCTGCTCGAACTCGGTATACTGCTCCTGGGACAGCCTCTTACTGGCCACCACCAGGGTACGCAGTCCCTCGCGGGCCAGATTGTCACACTCTTCCTCCAGCCAGTCATTGTAGAGAACGATTGACGACATCACAGTGTCGGCTCCCTTCATGTAGAGCCGGATCTCGCCCGAGGCCGTCTCCCGCACGATGATGCCCATCCGTTTGGTCTCGGATGTGAATGGGAAGACGAGCAGAATCTCGTAGTCGAGTAGCTGGCCGGCCGGAGTGCGCAGACGCATGCTGCTCAGGTCGCGGTGCACCAGGGTGAGGCCCACCTGTGGGGAGAGAGGAAGGTCAGGTCAGTGTCGGGTCGGTCTATGTGCGGCGTAGGTCAGTGTTAGAAAAAGTCAGGCTGCGTTAGCATGGAACGGCCAATCATGGACGGAGTCAAGTTAGTGCAGCGTTAACTGTTAGTGTTGACCCCCTTGACAAGAAGACACGGCATAAGTTATCTCTAGCTAGACAGTTGATCTCATGCTAGCTGCTTTATCCCTGCTGACAAAACGAGGTCCTCTGCAATTATCCAATCACCTTTCTCACTCCCTCCTCTCTCTAGCCCTCCGCCCGCTCCCCACCACGCACCATCTCCGTCCAGGTGACCAGCGCCACCTCGTCGGGCGAGCTGGCCTGGTAGACGACCGGCCGGCGCGCGGCCGAGCCCTCGGACAGCTGGCCCGACTCGAGGTCGGTCGAGCCGCCGCCCACGCTGGCCGTGGCGCTCGACACGGAGGTGCTGTCGTAGGACGAGAACTGACTCGACGAAAACTGGGCCGGGTCCTCGTACCTGCGGAGAGGGAGAGTTGATGAGTGACGTCAGATTAAAAGGTGCTGCATTCATGCAAGAATATTAATTTGTGATTAACACGGTACGGCACCTGCAGGAAATCGGTAAAAAAAAAAAAGAGGAGGAACAAAGCTAACTGTTAAACCATGAGCCAAGTAACGACATGACAATATAGTCTAGGCCATCAAACTGCCACCTACCTCCCGACACTGGCCTCCTCACAACATATTGACTGCTAATTAAATGCACTCCCAGCTTTGGCTTCCGTCTACCCAGGATTGAGAATTAATTTACTTTCTCTCCCACCTAGCTTATTAGGTGGGAGCTTATTCCCCACCATACAAACCATTTTCCTCCCCTCTTATTACTGACGTGGGTGTGACGTTGTGGCAGAGCGCCAGCGCGCGCACCGCCTCCGCCACCCGGGCCGTCATGGTGCGTCGGATACGGCCGGTACCGGACGGACGGCTGCCCGGCGGGGGCGGCTCGGCGGCCGTCGGCGGGGCGAAGTGCTGCTCCACCAGCGACTGAACCTGTGGGAGAGGGAGGGGAACAAGGGAGGTTAGACGGGAAGGAGACAGGTGTGTGGAGTGAGAATTGAGCTCTTATCAACTGATGCTTTGCTGTTGGCTCGTATGCTTCTAAATTATCAATTAACTGCACAAACCTCCTCATATTTCAGATTAAATATCGATTGGACTTCTACACCCACCACCAGGCTGTATAAACTTTCACATTTTTTTCAATCCCACACCTACCCAACTTCACCTAGAGACTTCTTTGAACCCAAAGAAGTAGGGTAAGGGCGGGTAAGAGGACGCGGGCGATAAGAGTACGCATCAGCTGTTTCGGTTGCTTAGCAACGCGGTTTTGTGGAGTTCATGAAGTGACATGAAGCCGCCAGTGCGTGTTTGTCACCGACGGAACGTGGGCGTTTTGCGGCGACGCTGTTGAGTTTTAGGCGATGAATATTATTTTTGAGCGTTATATTATTATGGTATGGTACAATAATTTTTAAACTTGGCAGTTGAGATAAGGTACATTTTCGTGATTGTTATGGGAAACTTGTGAGGTTTTCTGGGGAAATACTGTGCAGTGCAATATTCTGTTTGTGAAGTTTTGCACAATGTTTCGGGGTTGTTTTGTGCGCGAATTGCATGTAGGGTAAGAGGACGCAGTGTTCATGAGGGTAAGAGTACGCAGAATTATACATTATATCGAATATACAGAAATATAAAATTATTTATATATTGCTCAATGACGTTTGTTTTGTAGGTATATCATCAATGGAGCACTGTGAGGCAGATGCGTACCCGATATTCTTCTAAATACGAGTTATTCTCCCTTTTGATTGTACATGTTTTTTAGAACCACATGACATGATTATTTCTTGATTTATAGATTTGCAAGATTTATTTATGTTTTTCTTTTTAGATACTAGAATGAAATTAAATGTCTTCTGAGTTTGATGTTAAGCATTTGGACAGTACAAGCTGCATAAGTGTGTATGTACATATGCTTGCGTACTCCACCCGCCTGGCGTGCGTACTCCAGAGTTGGCCTACGTTACGTTATTTTGAAGTTTTCGGTAACCCGTAGCTGTCAGTACCGTTTCGTAGCGTAATTGGGATGTTTCGGTAGCGTAGTACGGAAAATAATAGAATAGCGTAGGAACTACGAAATGGATTCCGTAGCAATTACAGGTCAGCTGTAGGTATTTGTATAAGGTACATAATTTTTTCAGTTTACTCATATCGTCACCAGACCTCCGGCCGTTTACACGGATGTGAAACGCCTGCTATATGGATACCACTGAGTCTTTCTTCCGGCCGGACCGACACCGGGGATTTCCCACTGGGGAGTCCCAGGGAATTCCCTGTCGGAAGTCCAGCGCATCTAGCGAGTAGCGCGTAGGCACCGCCGCACCGACGATGCTGCAAAGCCGGCGATCATTGTGCGCAGTATTTGGCTTACTAGAGACTAACCGTTTCCACTGGGTAGTGGATGATGACATATTGCATAACGTAGTACGATAAAATTATTTGCTGCGTTAATTAACAAATACCGTAATTCAGTAACGTAGCAATATATAACGTATCGTAATTCGGTATCGTAGTTTTGGCCAAAAAGGCAAACGTAGCGTAACGTAGTGCGTAACGTAGCGTAGCACAGGCCAACTCTGGCGTACTCTTACACACCCCATGTGGTAAGAGTACGCAGCAGCAGCGGTTCAGAAAACGTCAGTTTTAGACCACTTCAATTTACGCTGAAGGATCGTTGCCTCATGGGTTGATAGCTAATTCAATGAACTTTATTATTCCATATTTGCGATTTCTTTCTTTCAAATATTTAACAAATGAGAGCAAGAAATCCACTAAGTGCGTACTCTTAAACGACTTCACCCTACTCCCCTTGTACCAAATCACATGCCAATTCGACCAGCATAGTTCGACTGACCTCTACTACCTTACGACCTCTCGTTAGTTGACAAACGAACTCACCTCATCAAACGTGTCGACGCCGTACGACACGGACCCCATGTGGACGCGTTTGAGCACCATTTCGTTCTGCGTCAGCGTGCCCGTCTTGTCGGTCAGCAGGTAGACGATTCGTCCCAGCTCCTCCGGGATGGTGGTCGACCTGACCACGGCCTGCGGCATCTCCGAGTCCCGCTGGATCGTCCACGAGTAGAAGATCTTACCCATATCCAGGTTGACGCGAAGGCTGCCAGAGAAGTGGGGTTCAGTTAGGGGAGAGATAGGGAGCAGATTCGTAGTGAAGGCAAAGATGTATGATAACGTGATGCCAACAGGCCAACTCTGTGGTTTTGATGGTAGATGTTTATGTGATGTTGGATGCATTCTAGCTATGCTAATAACAATATGACAAGTTGGTGATAAAAACGCCAGTAGAAAATCACAATTTTTAGACCGATCTGCAGTTGGTGATCCTTTACATTCAAACACACAATAGTTTTGATCGACTTCTAGCTTTAAGTAAAACGCATGGGTAACCCCATCATAGGCGTCGCCAGACATTTTCGGTTGGGGGGGGGGGCAAAATCAAGTTTTGTGTTAAATCTTGCCTTTCCCCAGCCGTTACTCACTCGTTTTACATATCATTCGATGCGCAATGGTGCGAGGAATCCGATGGTGACAAAGTTTTCCTTTTAGCTATAGCATGTATTTTTTTTACAAAACAAATCAAAATTTTGAAATTTCTGGACAAAAACGACCGTTAGAATTACAGTGGCTGCGATTGCCGACGCACTGCAGAGGGCCCCTGTGCAGACTCTCGTCGCTCATGATCATTACCCAGAAGAAGGTGAAAAACGCTCCATTTGAATCGGATCACCTCGCTAAAACCTCCATTCACGCATGCACGCCGAGGTTTTACGTGAAATGCATAGGGCTTATCCCAGCCGCCGATTGTAGCTAAGAATTGGGCATTCGGCGGAGACTGAGTGGATGTCGGAAGTGTGAATCGGAAGTACATCATTCATCCTTGCTGCAGTGAGAAGAAGTGTTTTGTTCACTCGAGTGTGAACAAAAAGTTTCTGGTTTTTCGAGTGAAGGGAAGCGCTGCAAACGCGACCAAAAATATTTAACGGAACCAAAAGTTACGCACGGCATAGCGGCAAGGGATCCCTTAGAGATAGGATTGCGACTTCAAGGCCATTTCAGGCCACTCAGGGTCAGTGTGGACTCTCAGAAGCCTGCTTAGGATCACGGAGATCGGCGTAGGTCACCCCAAATATTTACGTGTATGTGGTGCTTTAGGGCTTTCCGAGCCTAAGGTGGGCCCGGAAAGCCCTTTAGGGCACACGAGCTTTCAGAAGCCAGTGTGGGCGGCGGGCGCTAAGAGACTAGGCCCAGGGTGAGCCTGGAGCCCTCGAATAACAGTGCGAACCGTCGGGGTCTGTGTCGAATCCTTAAGGACCCTACGTTGGTAGGGACATAAGAAACATGTGTTGCGGTCCTCAGAGGGACACGTGAGTTGTGACCCCTCAGATGCCGGGTTGGGGTTAGTAAAGTCTGTCGCCTCAAAAGTTCGGCTTAACTATCATAGGCCAGTTGAGGTTTTCAGAAATTTTCGAAGGCATCCTCAAAGATTCGTGTGGCCCTTCAGAGGTCTACGTATGTATAATGTCCTCAAAGATCCCTGTATGTGCCCTCTAGAGAACATGGACACCAGTGGGACTCTCAGAGGCCGGTTTGGGCCCTCCGAAAGCTTCTTAGAGCTCAGTGGAGCTCCTTAGGAGCCTGTGTGAAAAGCAGGCTCATGAGCCCTGCGGCACTTGAACGGTACTTGTGCCTGTCGCAGACATTTGACGAGAGTTGAGAAAGGCCCCGAAGATTTCGTGTCACGCTTTGAACGAAAATTATGTGTCAGCACTCCAAAATTTATGAAAATCAGCTACAATGTAATAAAGAACCAACTAGGAACATGGCATGAATCATGGCATTGACATTTCCGAGTCTGGAGTCGGAGTCTTGAAGATTTTGGCGACTGCGACTCTGACTTTGGTTTGAACTGCAAGCTCCAACAGAGTCTGACCTCACAGGCATTCTCAGAAAGGTACCCCCATTTTTCCCCGACTCCAAAATCTCATCGGATCTGTATCGATCTCAGGGGGTGCCCGGTCCGAGGTTGGGGGGGCAAGCTGCCCCGCTTGCCCCCCCCCCCCGTGGCGACGCTAATGAACCCCATAGCTATTAGCTAAGTTAAACCCACAATACTCCTATAATATTCCTCATATCATATCACTCATGCCATCCGACCCGTCCCCTGACCCGCGACCAGACCGAACAGTCAGCGCCGACCCACCTGAGCGGGATGATGTACGAGAAGAGGAGCACGAATCGGAACAGGTAGCGGTACCATGGCCCCTGCCAGCCCTTGAGGCACATCATCACCACCGACAGCACCAGCACCACCACAAACAAAATCTGACGGTAATAGAGGGACGGTCAGAGGTGGTGAAGGTACCACGAGGTGGGGGTGGTGTCACGCGGATAAAAACGGGTAGCCTGGCATATTAAAGTCAAATGTCTGTGAGAACTTTGGAAACAAATAGATAGCGGTGATAACGATGATAATCATGAATACATACCACAGTTCGTCACCAAAATACTCGCCCAAATAACATCAACTCATGCCCCTACACTCAATCCCACCCTCACAGCCGCCTTCCACCCCACTCTCCACTAACCTTGGTCAGATTGTTGATCTCCAGGTCGAGCAGGCCGGTCTTGCTGCGCGGCGCCGAGTTGTTCATGACGGAGCGTGTCTCACGGCCGGTGTAGACCACCAGGCCGAGCGCCGTACCCGAGGCCAGCACTGTGTTGGCCCACAGCGTGTTCTCCACCGACAGACTATCGTTGTCGTTCGACGCGTCGTGCTGGCGGGAGATGGGGAAGGCGTAAGGAGACGCCGTGGTGGTTTGCGAGCTGGTTCAGTTTATGGAACATGTTTATATGAGAAACCAAGAAAGTCATAGCTGAGCCTTTTAAGGACAAATGACTACACACACCAAATCGAGCGCTATCCACCATCAAACTACCAAAAGTAAAGACCACCTATCTTCACCGTACACAATCACATGCCCTTTTCACAGACCCCGTCGAATAGTTACCACTCCGTCAACCCGCCGCGTTATCAGCACTCGTCCATCCCACCGGCGGTCTCAGCTCACCCGTGTGAAGGTCCCGATGAAGTTGTGGATGTCCTTCTGCGGTTTCTCTGCGTACACCTCGGCGTCGATGCTGAACAGGTCGGTGGAGCGGGCCAGCTTCTGAGTGGAGCCGACGGCCAGTCGCAGCTTCCAGTCCGTCTCGCCGTCCAGCTGATCCGTCCTACGGGAGAGCAAAAGGGAGGGTCAGTTCAGGTCAAGCTAGGTCGGGTCAGGTCACCGCATTAAGCACTCCAGGTGGTCAGTCCTGAAGCATGCAGTCCGTGGGAAGGAGGTCCGTGGGAAAAAAACTAGAACAAACCACTAAATAAAACATTACGTCACATGTTTATTAGAACAACCGAGCTCGATTCCGCCTACTTCCTCATCAAACCCTCCGCGGCACCTTCCTAACGAGTCGCCAATCCCCTCCTCAGCCCATTTGTCCCTCCCCTCCTTCAGCCCCGTACGTTCTCTTCCCCCGTCGCAGAGACAAGCTCCCGTCTGACCTGATGAAGCAGGCGCCGCTCCGCTCGGTGGTCCGCAGCAGCACCATGTCGGCCGGCACGCGCTGGTTCTTCTCGATCAGCAGCAGGTCGCCCACGCGGATACGACTGCTCGCCACCTGGCGGCGGGGAGGGGGAGACACAACGTCGGTCAGCGATAAAGTAGTGGATAGGAATGACGAGAAACTGGGCGGGGTTGGTATCCCAGGCTACGGCATGTAACTAAACAGAGCTTTTTTATACCGTAGTCGGTTTGGGTTACACTAATGCGACATGTGCACTGGATAGTGTTATTTATAAGCATGACTATCCTGGTTTGACTAACTAGTAACTCGTGACTTGACATGCATGAATACCCGGCTGAGTCCCGGAGCCTCGCTGTTCGTCTGTATTCCATGTTACCTTGGTGTGTCCCTGGTGTGTGAGCTTGCTGTACTTGGTGCTGTTCATCTCCTTGTCACGCCGGTAGCGCCGGTAGTCGTCCACCGCCTCGCGGATCATCGTCACCGCGATCACAAAACCCTGGCGGATGTTGGAGGAGAAATGTCATGAAATGATGCTTAACGGACGGCGAGATAACTATCCAAACAACACTGATACATGAACGAAGGTAGCCAAGGTTTCAATATAGATTCTCATTGTGATAACTCAACATCGCCTTGTTCACCGCCCACCAGGCGTCCGCCACAGCCGCCCGTCACAGCCGCCCGTCACGTACCAGCGGTCCCCAGTAGGTGTAGATGTAGCCCACTTGGAGCGCCGGGAAAAACTGAGACAGCGCCATGATCAGGAAGAACAGGTTCAGAAACATCTTGAACTGTTCGTACAACACCTGAAACAGCGACAGAAAATCAAGCACATGCAAGACCATAAGGATGATACAACCGGTGACCTAGCCCAATCTTCTCGCAATGAGACATCAACGTTTGATCAGCATGGTTTGCGTCATTATTCTACACTGGTAAGCAAAGAGAGACGTAACACATAAAATAAGCACTTTAGTTGTAGCAGATTAAGCAGTGGTTATTACATTTTTTTGCCAAAGGCAGCGACACTGCAGATCCATCTCTAAACTACGGTTCGGATACCCGTCGACCAGCCGTCCACCCACCTTCGGGATGAACGTGATGATGTTGTACTTTTGGTTTTTGATGGTGTTGGGCGGGAATTTCTCGGTACACGGCCGTCCGACCCGCACCAGCCGGGCCCGGTAGTCGCGGTCGCCAAAACAGGAGGCAAACAGCCATTGGAAGCACCTGTAGGCAGAGGGGAGACGGGGCGGGGTTAGTCAGCGGTCAGTTGGTTAGTGGAGGGTGATCTGAGGACGATAGCGATTACTGGAGGGGTGTGGGGAGGGGGGGGGGCAAGGCCAAGGGAAGGCCCACCACAGGGGTACACAACTTGTGGTACAAAGCATTACAAAGATATTGCGCTACCCAGGCAGTTCTTCTTGCCCTCCGGGTTGTTTTATCATAGGAGAAAGATAGCTAATTTATTTGAAGAACATGTTGTTTCATGTGATCGGACAAAGCGTTGGGGATGGAGTCACATGTTGGGTTCCAACTTCCAAAGCATGATTCATTATTCGCTTAAGCGAGACGAACGAATAGCTAAAACGTACTCGGTACAAAAAGGAGTTTTGAGGTACGTGGTCACGCACACGATATTCCTTTTTGCACTGAGGTGTCTCAATATTGAAGTGGGCAAATAAGCACATGACTTTCTGGCCAACAGCGAAAGCACAAGCAGAACGAGCAGCAAAACCAAACCGGAACCACACCCCGACCATACGGCATTGCAGCTCTCAGTCAGTTACAGTCACAAACAAACGAACGCTGATGTTCCGAGCAATGTGCCAGAGGATATGACATACCTAACACGCTGCGGTCAAAATTAGAGATGTCAATCAGATACCAAGTTTTTGGTATACCGATACCAAACCGATACCAACTTGGTATTTGGTATTTCAAGGCTAATGCATTTGGTATTTTGTTGGTATCGTGAATCATCCCTTATGTAAAAGAGGCTGTGAATTTGGTAAAAAGTTGGTATTTTCCTGAGTTTACCAAGTTGGTTCGGTTTCGGTATTCTTCCGTGGTTATTGTTGGTATTTGGTTTGGTATCGGTATCAAGGTTTTCCGTAAGTGACATCACTAGTCAAAATGCTTACTCTGGTACAACATTCAAGGCTTCGACTCCATCCAGCTGCATATTTTTGATACGGATCACATCGGCCGCACATAAAACAACGGCGCTGGCATACCTAACAACTGCGACAACATTGATTCCCACACTCTACGGATCAGGGCAGAAAGGCTCGGCAGGCAGCAATGGCAGTATACACGACACCTCTGCTTACCAAGCCTGAACGAGTGTTCAACACTTCAAAAGCTCGCAATGGTAAACTTCTAGCGGCTCACAGCAAACCCGAGCGATTTCTAGTGGCAAAACTACAAACCGCGAAGCACAGCCACGCCAAAACTACAGCAGTGCGTTCCGTGCTATGCGAGATCACACCCCACCAATCGCCATCCATCACCCTCACACGAAAGCAGTGGTGTGGTGAGTCGCAAACGACAGCAGCCGGCGGTCAGACGCCCGTACCTGAGGAGAGGTGACCGCCGCCGCGGCCGGGTCGGCTCCGGCTCCTGCTCCTGCTGCTGAGACAGCTCGTCCCACTCGACCAGATTGATCCCGTCCTCCGGCATCGTCACAAACGGCCGTCCTTCAGTCTTCGCTACACTTCCTCCTCAAAGTTCTCATGAACTCCGCAGAGACTTGGCAATGGATACGCGGTTTATCACCATTCACAGTTCATACAGCCTCTAAGTTTGAGTCCATTTTCTCCTTTCTCCTGTTGGTTTTGCCCGCGGTCTGCGCCCACTGGTCACTACTCCTTCCTACACACCACAGCGTTCATTTCGCCCAGTCTCGATGCTTCACCCAGCTGTAGTCTCTGCTTTGAAACCATTGAACTTTGAGCCGCGATACTTTGAAGCTCTGGGCGTATCAAGGGTATTCTTCGCGTTCTGTTTTGCTCTTAATCGGTCTCGTTACACTGTCTTGTCCACTATTTTGTCTTCAGTCACACTATGTGGCCTGGGCCAGCGTCTTCTCTTAGGTCTCAAATCTATGTCCAAAGTCATATCACTCTCTTCCTGATCATCCCGTCCTCGCCACCGCACGCACCAGCTGCCACTGTCAGTCGGAGTTTCTCATAGCCGGCCTCGGCCCCTATCGGCACACCATGGTCGCTATCAGCTCTGTCATCGCAGTCGCATATGACGTCAGGGACAAAACAGTGATAGATGTCATCCACATGGCGACTGTGAGGTGTGTGACGTCACACACAGCTGGGCTGAGTCAGCCGAGGAGCCCGATGTCAAGGTGCACATGGCTGGAGGATAGATTGGAGAGGGGGGGGGGGGGGGTAAAGGAGCAGTCAATTGATGGTTAGGAAGTGACATGTAGAACTGCAGGGGGATAATATTAATTGTGGTAATGTATTATGATTTATGATTGCGACATCTACAGATAAGCCCTCATGGATTGGAAATTCGATGAAGTAATGAATTAGCTGGCCCGGAACAAGTACAATATTTTTCTCCCGTACACCAATCATAGACACAATGGCCACTTTCCTCGTAATATAAATGTTGCTGCATGCAACTGAAAAATACAGCCAGTACAGAGAACGGCTAAACAGAACAGTTCCAAGCACTGGGATTCCGACAATCAGCCACGTCACGATACATACATGATTCACTAGTTTACTACGGCGACAGCCAGCACGGTGCAGCGTTGACACCCACAACTCTAACTAAACAGAATAGAGTGACAGGTTCAAATACGGACCAGCACTCCGTTGGCAATCTGTATGACCTATCTCTGACCTGAGCACACAAGGGATTCGTGATACGGAGGAGGTAAAACACGGCATTATCAACTAAGACACCACCACGAGTCACGACTAGCCCCGTTATCTCCAGTGACCTCCGGTGACCCACCCTGTCATCCACCGGCCGGGCGCCGCGCAGCACGGCACCCTCCTTCTCCGAGGGGTGATGAGCTGACTCCTTTCCGTTGACTGGCGCCGTCTCCAGGGGGCGGGTCGCACCGGCGCCTCCGAGAACTCCATCTCCGCGTCCAGCATTGTGTCACGGCGCGCTACTGCAGGGGGCAGTGCTCACACTACGCTCACACGACGCACGGCGGTGAGTCACCGCGCTCACATCCACTGCGGCCCGGTACAGCTCACTCCCACTGATTGGTCTGTCACGTTTGTTTACTGCTTCGTACAGCTTCGCTTGCAGCAGCGGCAGCCTACGCGTCGGGTTCTCGGTCGTAGCGTCACGAGGGGTGTGTGATACACAGCTTCCTCGTCACGTGCCTCTGTCGTGGTAACTGTCACATGGCTGTGTTCGAGGCTCACTGTCACTGGGCGGTCAGCCACGTCAAACGAGTTTGTCCTCGTTGACAGCCACACGACTTTATCCAACTCTCGCTATTGCTCCAAAACACGCTGACTCCACAAAGTTGTCCACTGGTCCGACCGGGCGCACCAATCGTCACCGAGCACTGCCCAGTATAACACCAACCAATCACCGGTCGCCACGATCACCAACTAGCGACCACCACCGACCACGTCTGGTTCCACCACGGTGCCGTCTGACCCCGCGCGGCGCCCGCGGCTGACTGACAGCCCACTGCGCCCGTCAGAGTCCCCGAGAGGGCTGGCCGTAACCGGTCAGAGAGGTGAAAAAACACCACAGAAAAACGGACATTTGAAGCGAGGATTGCTTGGCTTTTGCAAGGTGGGATACAAGCATAGAAAGAATGAATGAATGGGAAGATAGAAGAAGACACAATTCCGAAAGCTCTCTGATGACCTATTTAATTTCATTCCCTACACAAGCATAATATTGGGAGCCGACTGCCGCTAATTCAGTACACGAAATTTGCACCTCTTCTTCGGAGCACGTGAGTCCGACGGTGGCGCAATGGTAAACATCGCCTTCTGGCAGACGGGCGGGGGAGGGGAGGGTCGGAACTCGGATACCATACTAGGGCGGTGCCCACACGCCCCCCCCCCCTCTCCCGACTGACGGCCTGTAAATGGTAACCGAGCAGAACTGACTAAATGCACTACCGGAACAGAGTGTCGCGAACATGAATACACGGGTAGAAGATGAAACAGCACATCAAACGGGATGACCGTCAGCCGCTCCCATGCAGGGTAGTTTCAAATATGCTCGCATGTATGTTTGCCATATGTCACATGCACATTATGCCATGATAAATAAGCCCACTGCGCCTAATATCACAGCAAGTCTGTGCGCCACTCGGCCCCGACCACAGCTGCCCCCCCCCCCCTCCTACCCCCTCCCGCACGTCGACTCTGGGGTACGATGTATGTGTACCGACGGCCACAATTGGTGCGCGGCGTCCACACACCCCTGAGTGGCAGCTGACGTGCCCCACAGGTGGTCCGCGCAGGGACGCAGCCAGGCACCGCCGCTGGGGGTGTCAGGTATACGTCCCAAGTCTCAGCGGGGTACAGGCGGGTTTACAATGCTGAGTTCACTGTAAATGCTGAGTTCACCGGTAGTTGTTAATCGCCTGCTTATTGACCGTAGATTAACGCAGACGCACGCTCACTGACGACCCCATTCTCTTCCAGACGCACCGTTCCAATCGATACTGTTGCTAAGGAATATCAGCCGACCATCACAGTTGGAGACTTATATCTAATGCCCGTCCAGAGAGCCAGGGCATGACAAGCACACAGCTTCACAGAGGCGGAAGTAGGCCCCGGTTCCTACGCATAAACGATATGAAACAGGCGGCGATGTGCGACAGCTCGGTAGAAGTGGTAGGGGCTGGATAAATCGTATAAATCTTAAGTACATAGTATCGTGGAGTTTATTATCGAATGAGAGCGAAGGGGAACGGCGAGAAGACTGGTGTGCGCGAATGGAAATGAACAGATAATGAATATGCTCTTGATGGAGACAAAGCATGCGAGTTTAATATTTCACTGAAAAAATTCACCTGCAACGCATATCATGCAAAGATTAGACTGCTCAAAACCGGTTGGCCATAAATATTCCGAGCACGTTACATGCGATACGTTTCCTCCGCGGTTCATATGTGACACTGGGCCAAGAATAGCCACAGCTGTAGTGGATGGTTCAACGACGTGAAATAAAAGCCGAGGTAAGAATAATATCTCGAGTGATGTCGAGTGACACAGTTCCGGTGTACATCTCCAAAGACCGCTGCTTCCACACTCCCTGATGACCTCAATAGTACCAGTTTATACCAGTGCACGTGATGTCTTACGAGGTCTGGAGATCATGCGTCATTGTCACCGAACCGTGTACTGTTTATAGAGACGAGCCATACCGGCGTAAAGACATGAGTTCGTGAAGCGGAATGTGTGACGGTCAAATTCGTAAGAACCTTCGATGGGGGCACTATAACATGCAATCTGTCATTGGTATTTAAATATTTCAAAAGCAACGATCAGATAAGCACAGCTTACCACATGACGTACTACGTAGTTGGCAATTTTCCTCTTAAAGATAACGAGGGTTTGCGATATCACTTAATGACAATTCGCCATAGCGTAGCAATACGAAAAAGACCGCGCTAAAATAGTAGGTACCGTTTTAAAGACAGACAAATAAAGAAGCTATCAGAAGCCATGGCCCGTTCAGTAAACGCTATAACGAACAATGGTGTGGCCTCAGTCACCCCCATCATAACCCAGCTCCCCTGAGTCCATTGACGCCCCTCCCGTCTCTTACCCTGCGACGCAGCGCGGCAGGCAGCAGCAGCAGGTGAACAGAGTCGGTCCCAGGCCCCCGCGGCGCCGCCGCTCGGCCAGCAGACGCTCCGTCTCGTCCATGACGCCCCAGTCGTCCCACTCGGTGGAGTTCAGACGCGTCAGTGGCATCCGCTCGTCGTCATCATCGTCCATTACTGGAACGGCGCGCCGGGGGTTGAGGAGGCGGGGCGGCACAGGAGGGGTCATGGAGGATCTGCTGCCGGTGGGGATACCGAGAACTGTGAGAGTTATGCAGACAAATGGTGATTTCCGTCATATGTTAAAGGCGAGATGAAATGTTATTCCAATCCACAAACAAAAATCACGTGAGTTTTTTTTTTTCATTATGTTATCAAAGTCACCTTTAAGGTAAAAGACATATTAGGTTGCTCAATCATAAAACACTGGACAAATCCGAAAGTAAGCAAAACTCATAAACAAAACCCAAAAGACAAAGACGAATTTTAAAAAGCAGCAGTGTCCAGAAGACTCAAAATATGTCAAAGGCATATTCAAGCTGTTAGGGCATTCAAGCTTAAGCAGTCAACATGAGCAATGAGCATGCATATTGCCCATCAAAGACCTTAAAGCATGAAGCTGGTTATTAGCGAGCATAATTTCTCCTCAGTGCTGCCAGTGAATTTCTCATAGAGTGCTGCCATATCCATTTTGCATTTATATGATTGGGCCCATGAGCCTAAGACAAGAGACAGGCACTTTTCCAGAAGGACTGACATGACCATTTGACTGACATTGAACTCAGTCAGCTGCTTACCAACATTGTGGCTCAGCACTCTCTAGTCAATTAACCTGGCATGATAACAGTGGCAACATGTACCTAGTTGGCATGAGCTGTACTAAACCATACAGCTTTTACTGGAGGGTAAGAAAGATAAAGATCATGTAAAGGTGGCATCTTAAATGTCATAGGTTGCCTGTAGGCATGACTGTTGTATATGAAGGTCATTCAATACACATTTAGCAGATGAAGAGTGGGTTAAAGAGGGATCATTTAAATAGCTGTAGCAGGCATCAGTCAATGCAGATTATAGGCATCACACAAAATACCAATCCTCTCCCAAATTAGGAGGCATAATTCAAGCATGCAGGTTGTAGCCATATGTATGTATTGTGTCAAAGGTGAGGACTGTATCAGACATGCAGAGAAGTCATGCATGCAATACAGTGCAATATAATTACAATGATGGATCGGTTACCAGACAATGACAATCTACATAATACAAAACAAAACCTGCATCTGATGTCCAAGCTAGGCACTAATAACAATTTAAAGCATACTTAATGACCTCATTCTGTGTTAAGATTTGCTGCATCCCTAACATAACATGTCTTACCTTGTCATGTTGCACAGATTAACACTGTTTAAGTATTGAATCTCAAGTCAATAGTCTGAAAGCTGTCACTGAAATAGAGATTTTCTTAGAAAATGACATCTCAAGAACATCAAATCAATAGAATAGTATTAAGTCACAGTGATGGCTGATGCTATTAAAATGTACGTACACATAAACTAAGCATTGCATCATGATAATGAAGTAAGCTTTCTATATGAGGGTACACCATTAACCATATAAATTCACTTCTTACATCGAATATACCCAAATCCAACTAAAGGGGAACTACTAGTTGATCATGCAATGATAAGACTAAGTCCCCACTATTTGCTTCAAACAAACAAAACACTAACATGCCAAATAATTTCCCTTTGCACCAGATTTGGTATATACAATAGTCAAAATAAGGCTTCTAAATCTAAGAACTGGGTATCACTTGGATTCATTGAAATTTATTGATTCTTGCTTCTTAAGATCTTGGAAAACACTGTATTCTGCACCAATGAAAGCACACCATAACACATTGGATTTACCCCTAGTTTTCAGTTAGTCAGGGCACCTGTAAATTTCCCATGCTACTGGATTCAACACAGGAAAAGCAAATTATTGTTAATATTTAAATAGCTAAAATATCACAAATCCTGGCAATTTTAGAAAGTCATGGGCCAGAGCCACAGTAAACATCTCAACACTGTTATGAGGCATCAGGAAGAAGTGTCATTAGCATACTTATGTCAGTGTGACACCCATCATTGTTGACATAACTATCTGGTCATTTCCTCTTTTAGCACCCTCTAAAAACTGGACAAATCGGCAAAATAAGAACATGAAAGGGAGTAATTGGCACTGGGGCAAGCGACTGTTGGTGTGCATTCGGCATCTGGATAATCAGGGAGAATTTTCCGGGATCAGCAAGAATTATCAGGGATTAGGTACGCTCGGTATCATGATAGCGAGGCATGCTGAAGATAGGTGCTCACCAAATCATTTTCCGCCGGAGAATATCCAAACGACAATATTTTCTGGATGCCGAAAGCACACTTGATAAAACATCAAGGATTTAGAACATGAAGTTCAATTTAAAAAAAGATCCTTATAATTATGAACACACCTTTCTGGCAAATATGGAACATTGGCAGAAAATGACACCCAAACTTTCACAGAGATTTCGTATAGTCAGTGCACTAAGTTGAGTAGAACAATTAAAATTGCTGAAGAAAAGGAAGGAAAATCTCACCAGAAAACTAGCAGCTGCGATGAACAAATGTTTCCACAAAGACAGATTCCCAAAGATTCAGCTACGGTACCTATGTATCCTTGGATTAAGCAAATAAAAAAAATATTTTATTACTTTTTCAACTAGTGTTTTCAATTGCGACGTTCTAGTTATAATAAGGCAGAACAAATGCAGAATAAAACTCAGATCAAAAATGTATGATAAAACTTCTGACGTCATGACTTAAGCGCAATGGAAGAAAAGGTTTATTATAAATGGTTTTGAGATGTTTGATAAGCCAGTGGCGGCGCCACGAATTTTCGCCAGTGGGGGCAAGCTTGAGGTGACCCGACTGTTGTCTGATACGCCGATCTGCAAAATCCAGAGCACCTTGCCCCTAGATGTTTCCATTCAAAAGTTATGGTTTCAGGTTTCATGCATACGCGTTGAGCACCCTCGCGGGCCCGGAAGGGGGGGGGGGGGCGTTTTTCGCCTACCCCTGGCGAATATTTGCGATACCTCACGAACGCTTCGGGATAGAAAGACAAAACTTGCTACACCTTAACCCCCATTAATTTGACATCTTTTGAAGCAAAAAATTTGGACCTAGCCTGCTTGATAACGTCTCAGGGCCGATTTTTCTAGACTCCTGCATGGCAAACTTCGGCGTCACAGACGTGAACTTCAACCACTGCCAAAAAGGTTTTAGAGATAGAGACAAATTACGAGCACGGTTGTGTAGCATTTGACCTAGAAAAAATACTTAAGTAACTTTGGTGACCTGAGGTCATAGGTCAGGTCAACGACCCGAGCTGGGGCTTTAGTTTTTTTCGCAAGTAACTTCAACAAAAAAAGGTCCTAGAGCTACGGCAGTGGTACTGCGCATTCGTCTCGTCGAAACACGTCGAATGGTTTATATATTGTTTGGAAAAAGTCAAGTTTTATGTTGACCTCATGTGACCTCGAATGACCTTTGGTTGACTTTGACACATGAAATGTCGTTTGCTCGTTTGTGATGATTTCGTAGCCGCTGATCACGATTCTGGCATCCATTTGGCTCTAAGCATTCATTGAGAGCCTCAGGATGGCAAAACATGTGTTAATTGTTAGGTATGCCTGACTTGAATAAGTGAAATAGCCTCTAGCAAGGATACTCTCTTGTGACTTTGACCTTGTAGCAGCCTTGTATCGTAAGCTAAAGCACAAATAGGGGTCCGCTAAGCTTCAAAACATTTCAAAACATCTCGGAATTTAGTATACAAGATGTAAGAAAAAGTGCAAAGTTTGTGGTCAATTTTGAGCATGGCCGTGACCTTGAATTTGAATGCTAGCACATCATCGGAATACCCAGACTCTCTTCTTTCGTTTAACATCCATTTTAGCCAGTTTTATGCACCATGCCGTCCTCTGGAACACGACACGTACTTTGAGACCACTACAAAATTGCCTGTTTTTGCCTTTGACCTTGACTTCTGACCTTGAAAATTGACCTGAGGTAAAAAAAAATTAGGTGTTTTAGAATCTTATCGTAGATACCTTTCGTTTGGTACCATTTTTGTTTCCGTAGCTGCCTTATTTACCGAGTTAGACAGGTGGGTGGGGGGCTATGCCCCGGACTGCGGTGGTTGGAATTACCCCCGGGCCCGGCCGGGTTAAGGTCGCGAGCAAATAAAACTATAAAATTAGATTGCGAGAAACATTAACGAACCTACGAAAACGTTTTGTTGTTCGTTGAGATGTAAAATGGTGTATTCTTCCAAACAATAGACAATACCTAGTTCCCTTTTTTACCGTAGTACGTATATGTGCGATTCTCTCACACACGATTCGTATACCACAATAAGCTCCATTAGGGCGACCCATGCATACATTTCCAGATAATCCGGATATACATACCTATCACATTTTTGCATACCTCCCTGAGCTTTGTCTCAGTCTAAGGGTTCCCAATAGAGAGTGATCTCTTCTCTGGCCGACTTTTGACAAACTGCCTCTGAACCTCCTCGAGGTCAAGCTCGAAGGCAGCCTTCTGGTGAATGAAAATGAGTAGGAGAATGAGTGGGAGTAGGAGATATGTGACAGATGGTCCGAAAACGAACGTTCTGCTGATGCACTTGATACGGGGACAGTCAAAAACAGGCGTACTATTATAACCGGCTATCATGAATGTTGCACCGGTCTTGTGTTCCCTTTTCAACATCAGCCAAATTTTGTGGGGGCAAAAACATAGTCTTGCCCCCACGACCTCCTGTCAGTGGGGGCAGTCTGCCCCCACTGCCCCCACGGTGGCGCCGCCCTTGTGATAAGCATAATGATAAGACACGAAATTTATCATAAAAAGGCTATATTTCTCTTATTCAATACAACATATTACTTTCAAGAATAGTTTTCTGAAGCTGACAGCAAAATTCAAAGCAGCTCTTGAACAATACCTATGACGTCAATAACATCATTTAAATTTTAGAATACACTTGAATAAAAGTAAATATATAAGCTGCGCATCCGAGACATGACTAGATTGTGACCACTAAAGTAATTGTTACCCTGATGCTATATGCTGCCCGTAGATTTTAGGAGAATGCATGCCCTTTTCCAGCTACGTAGCCCGTATATAATTATCATTTTGAATACTTTTTTAACGTTTTTACGGTATGAATCTTTGATTACGTTTCGCATTATGAGGAAAATCATTGTTTTGCTTTGGTTGAAAAATTTTGCTTGTCAGTAGCCACCCTTGGCAGCCACTTTCAATCCACTCATCGTGAAAGTTTGGTTCAAACGGGCCAAAAATTGGCTACAAACGGCAGCCCCAATTTTTGCAAACTATTTCAAGGTTGATTGAAAAAAAACACGCAATCTTCCTTAAACACTTTCAATGCTATAAAATAAAATCGAGAGCCGTTCGTCAAATCTGGATTTCACACCTATTGTTATTGAATAACCGTTGCCAAGAAAACGATGCATGGAGCCAACAGTATATTCTGTTAAAAAATAATGTTCCACAAGTTGTAGCTCATATATAAATAACGCACACAATTTACGATGGCAATGGGCTCAACAAACAACGATATAAACAAATACACTGACGCCAACACCACAAACCCTCACCCTGCAAAGCACCAGCTACTTCCGTAAAAAAGTGTTCGGGCAGACGGCTAGTGGCTGGTGCATTATGAAGAACGGAAGATTTATGCCGACATCTAAAACAGCCAGTGATAAGCCAGCAGACGTGCCACCTGGAAGTCCAGCAGTCGCATAGCAGAACAGACTGTCAGGTTAGCAGAAACGTACGAGCACATCGGATTTCGAAGAAAAAGGGCCTCTTGCGAGGAAAACAACCTTTGAAGACACATAACAACCTAAGGCCGTAAGAAAACACTAAAATGACCAGACCAAAACAGAACCCATTCATTAGCGGAACACTAGAATTTCCTATCGCAGGGACGTGGATCGCCAGAGCCGAGAGCCGTGCCCCTGGAATGTCCCACCGTCGCTACCCTTCCCAGCGACCCGGGCGAGCTGAGGGGACGGGCCGCAGCGGTGAGCGGCAGTGACCGTCCCGGGCCGCCCCGCGGCCAGGCGGGTGGCCTCAGGACCTCTCTGCGCCCCCACCGACGCCCTCAGCGATCACATAGCTGCGACACGTTTGTGCTCGAACTCAAGATCTATCCGCCGGTGTTAGCCGCCCGCACAGGACGCCTGAGCTCGCCATCCGTACCGGCACACAGGCGCAAGACAAACGCACACACCGAGTCGAGGCCCCACCACCGCGCGGTTACCGACCGGCTGAGTCTGCGGCCTGACAGACTGGCGGTGGCCGGGACCGCCAGACTTTCCCGCAGGTCTGAGACCGGTATATGCCCTACCGGTTAGGAGCAGCCGCTGCGCTCCCACCAACCCGTGACGAGAGAGCGTCCGGCGCTGTGCTGAGAGAAGATTAACGCGGCTTTCCAGTCAGGACCGCGACGGCGGCAGCAGCGGCAGCGGTAGACGGGCCCGGCAATACGGCGCTCACTCGGTCTTTTTCGTGTCGGCAGCGTCGGCCTTCTTGTCGTCGGCGGTCTCCGGCTCCTCGGGGTGGTCCTCGTACCTAAAATAAGGAGGAGGGAGACACGAACGGTTTAAGTATGAGAGCGGAGTTGGTTACCTAAGGTTCAGGTAAGACACTTCCCAAATGAACAGCCAGCCCGTTGAGAATTCGATTAACGTAAGGCTCACACATACAAAAAAAAAGAGAGTAAAATGACCACCCAGTGGCTGGTTACTAATCATCCCATTAAAACTCACTTGAACATGGTTTTGATGTCACCGCGAACCAGCGCGGCCAGCAGCGGCGTGCCCAGGCAGGCGGGCACCAGGTACAGCAGCGCCGGCTGCGCGTGCTTGTACACGTGCATGATGAAAATGGTCGTCATCAGGCCGGCAAAGTAGGCCGCGAACGTCAGGTAAAAGTACACCTGAGAGCCGCGCTTCAGGCTGAAAACAGAATAAAAGCGAAAATGTCGTTAGGTAAGATCAAAGTAAAAGATTACTAAAGCACCCCTTACAGAAAAACCTCGACGTAGCTGAATAATCTATCATCCTTGACAGACACTGCAGCAAAGACAGTCTTCTGAGGAACAAAACCGCATTCGTGGCTCATCGTATTGGCAATGTTATCGCAATATTATTGACAATGCCATCGCAATTCGCGTTATTGATAATGTTATCGCGTATTACTAATGTCATTACTCAGCTACGTTCCTCTCCAGTCTCCATTCTCTCAATACTTTCCTCACACTGCCTATCTGACGTCACAGCACCCGATCTATCGACTCCCAACAGGCCGACAGCTCGATACGGCAGCGTCAGACGCCGTCACACCACCGCTCACCTGACGTCAAATCTCAGCAGCAGGGCGATAAAGATGCCCGGGATGACGATGTCGCCCAGACCGAGCATGGCAAAGTTGTCGGCGGCCAGTCCCTTCTCCAGCAGGTCCTGGGGGAACACGACTGCACACGCAACGCGCAGAGACAACGGTTAGTTGGCAGCAGCCACAGGTCACAAAATATAGGCATGGAACAACCACACTTGAACAAACATAGGTGAAGTACGCTATTCGGGGGTTAACTTTGAACGGAAGGTGTAACGATATTGTTGTATGCTGCACGAGTTTTCCGTTTCGACTTTTGGGACGACTCATTTACGGAGCTAATCTCAGCTATCGAAACGCAGTGCACAATACCGCAGAAAAGCTTCCGCCGTTCCATGACCTTGAGTCATGAGTCATAGCCGCGTTTGAGGCAAGCCTTGCAAAGGAAGACATAAAGCCGACCTTGCAGAAAGTTGACTGCGTCATAACACTCTTCGATAACTCAAACAAACAATAGATTCCTGTAAACCAATAATTTTTGAACAGTTTACAACATGTATGCAATATCTAATCCCACCAGCTGTGCAGCGTTATAACTCCCGTCGGCTCGTAGTTCCTGGGAATTCACCGACCGGAGTTTCCAGTTTCCAGTGACCCTCTCCGCCCCCCCCCGCGACTGCACGAGCCGTCTCCACCTGTCAGCATGACCAATGAAGCAATGACACGTTTCTTAGTCACGGCCATACAACGGGGATTTTCTCATGTTTGACTGAAGGAATGGTGAAGTGAGATATTATTCGGGAACTCATTAAAAAATACCTACCATTACAAACGCAGACGCTTCAACGAACCGCTACCAAACATATTTCGAAAGCCGCGGAGCTTCTACAAACATCACAATGACCCTCCCGCGACCCTGACCGGCCACCACCCCTCGTGACGTACTTTTGATGGGCGCCTCGAAGGAGCGTGCCACGGTGACCATGACGTCGGTGGCGAACACCCAGAAGATGTCGTAGATGAACAGGCCACCCAGCAGGATGCAGCCCGTCAGCACGTTGTTGAGGTGCAGCATCTCCACGCCGTTGACGGAGAACGCCAGGCCGAAGATGTTGTTGGCGATCCAGTGCTGCGGTAGGGCGGGTGAACGGAGAGCAGGTTAGACTGCCATCTGACTCGCGATTCTTGCCCAACACGTTTCTGGGTCGATTCCCCACCCAAAACTCGCCGCACATTTATCTGCTCCTCTCAGCCAGCATTCGTCCGGAGAAGTGCGGCCTATAATACCTATAATGCTGACGCTTTGTGAGCATACCGCGGAACGTGGCACGCGCTGAAAGATCGTCAATTTCTCTGTTGCTCCAGGGACCAGGATATAAATTTTCCGACCGAATATCATTCGATTGTCTAAAAGTGGTCAACACTGGTACAGTCACAGCCAAATATATCAGCATTTCATATGTAAGTGATTAATGACCTTGCATGACTGATGACATCAATTATTTCACAAAGTGATGCCTAAATGATCCTGCTATGCAAAGACAAACTAGGTCAAGGGGTCACTAACCCCTACAGAAATCGTTTCATGTTTCAAGCTGTTTAATAATTTGAGTTCATTAGCATTCCCAACAACACTGAAGGCTCTTATCCTTACAGTAGCACTACATCTTGTTGAACATGTTAGGGATTCAGACTCATTGTCATGATAGGTGCCCAATGGTCATGACTAGCTTAAGAATTCGATTTTAGGAGCCTTGAAAACAAGCAAAACAACCAGGTGACATCTCCTCCTTCTTTATAAATTGTAGTGTTCCCAATCAAAATACAGTCCCCAAGTCACATTATCATTAGTGACCCACCTTCTTCACCAAGTACCACACTCCAATCACAGTAGAAATGGCCAGGCTGACCAGGTCATGAGTGCTAAACTTGAAATCAATGAGATCCTCTCCAACATCCTGTGTCAGCTTCAGGTGGTACTGGATGAGCGGCACAGACGAGGGCAGCAGTCGACTGACGTGGGTGCTGATCAGATGGGTCAGGGCCAGCACTCCCAGCAGGAAGAAATAGCCCGTCAGCAGCAGGTTGATGTACTCCTTGCTGAAAATCTGGAAAAGAGCAGCATTGGTCAGGGAAGTTACAAACAATGAATTGGACATTTGAAAACCTATGAAAAAATAAAATGCAACATATTGCACCTTCCACAACTCTTATCCAGACCATCTGACATATCTAGCATAACATTTTTGTAGCAGAAGTTATATTCCCAGATGAAGCCAAATAAAGTAGGATTTTTATTAATATTTGCATTTTCAAGCAAGAATAGGAAAACCAGATATCAAAGTTACCTTAAAGACAATGTAAATTCCAAACAATGCACAGCTAGCAATGATGGGAAACATCGCCGCATCCTTCTGAGTCATCCTTTCTGGCTTCTCCCCAGTCTTCTCACAGTTTTCCTGGAATAAAAATAGTACAGACATAATGAAATGTAAATAATTGAATTAATTAAGAAACAATTTAAAAAAAAAACAGCAGGACTGTCAAAACCATCACAAGCAAAGCAAACATGATTAGCATCAACACACCACTTTTGGTGTCCCATTGCTCAAGTCTGTGGAGATAAGCTGTGATTGACATGCAAGTTACTTACCTTCTGATCAGCATGATGTTTGATTGATCGGAACGAGCCGAAGAAAATTGGAAGCAGAGCCATAATAACCAAACTACCATATGCTATCGCCATCCCCTCCGGAGTGGCAGGAACCTTGCCAGTACCATTCTTGACCGCTTCAGTAATGTTCTCTACAACTTCCAAAGTCTCCGTCACAATTTCTTCAGAAGCTTCGGACATCTTTTCCACTTAAATGTTTCGAAAATCGATATTTTCGGCAGCAGCCCCTCCACGATATCCACTCCCGTTCTGGAAAGGCTCGTAACATATGCCCGCATAAACTGGACGTGTATCAAGAGAAGCTACCATATGCAGTATTCTACCTAAGCCGAAGTTTTTCCCTAATATTTTGTGGAAACATTTTGCATCTTTTCGGCCGATAGAAACCAACAGCAATGGCATATCTACTAACATACTTAAAATAAAAACAAAATAAATGATCTATCATCGTATGTAGCTAATCCGAATGAAATGATTTGTACCACTTGCCAAATCCTTCGTCCTGATGAAAAACTTTTCTTTTCAAATTACATTTTGTCCGCAAGAGGCCACTGCTGTACCCTCGCTAGATGTCTCTGACGGCGTAATTTTCGCTTCTCCCACATTTAGCCCATCTTGCTTTGGCCCAGCAGTTACGAGCCGGATCTTACGCGATTTCGCGGGCTACGAATCGAATAGCGCACATTTTGAACAACTGCACATCAAGAGCTGCAATGCACCTTTTCAAAACCAAAGCAATAAACAAATATCACTTCAGTGCTAAAATAGTTCACGGCTGTCTGCTGTATTTTGACTCTGGTGAAGTTCGACCTTTCAATTACGAATAATCGAGTGGTGTGCGGAGAATGTTAACTAGATTGCATTTCGGGAATATAAAAAAACTGACTGCGCACATGTTACGACCTCTCTCAGGCCTCGGCCGTCAGCTCCGACACGACTTGGACACGGCCGTACGGTGCTGCCACCTACACCGAGGCCACCGCAAGTTGGGCGGCGCGGTATTTGCCCTGCGGCGATTCGTGGGCGCGCCGCCGCTGCGCGGCTGCCGCCGCCGCCGCCGCAGTTCTCAGAGAGCGCCGTAGTGAGTGGACGCTGTGCCGGAGAGCTGAGAGGCGCTCCGTTTTCTTTGGACGGAACCCGATATAGGTAAGTCGTGGAACGGTTGGTGCGTGCTGGAAGTATTTGAGGGGTTGGCGAGCAGAGGTTCTTTTGCTGGTTGCGACAGCACGAACTGGAGCTGGGTCGGGGCAGGTACTTCATTGTGTTTCAATTTCTTTCGGGGTTAGTCGGTATGCCTATGTCCTAAAGGAAAAGAACGCGAGTCGAGTCAATCTAAACATTTTTTATAGATGTTATATTGTAATCGACATGCCGCCCTCGGCCTTCGCAATGACGCATGCCTATACGACAGTTTGGGGGATATCTAAATTAATAATGTATCTTTCGTAATTGCTCCAACTTCGAAGATCAAAGCTCAGCTCCTTGGCAATGGCAACAACTGACAACAATAGAGATAACTTAACTACCTACACTTTATCCGGAGTATGCATCTAGTCGAGCATTGAGCCCGGTATTTATGTAGCCGGTCTTCTTCGCCGTGTCTTGGTCGCAGGAGCCAAGAAGACTCCCATGGGTACCGACCGAATCACATTTTTTCCTCGTACAACGCGTATATCAGTTTCCGTATGACCAGAAATTGAAAACGAGCGACGAACTTTCAGATGGCGTGACCGAGGTCACTTCATCGGCACCGGTCACCAGGAGCTCATTACATCCGATCGCGATCCGGCCCCGTCCGTGACCCGTGGGTCCGCTGTGGGGCACTCTCCGAGAGGTCTCAACGGGTCACATCCGGCGGTGCACAGTTGCGATTCTGCGATGCTGCGTGTCCACTTAAGTATCACACTGGAGTGCTGCCGCCGACAGGGTGTCCGTGCACCTCTGACCGGACATCCCCGCCGGCATGCATAAGTCAGCAGGAGGTAGGACTAATCCCCTTCCCTGATCAATAGTAGTACCGACACGGTGTGAGCGGAGGGCGGTGATCCGCTGCTGATTCTGCCTGGCTGCCCCTGCTGTCCGGTCACAGAGGCCAGTCACGCTGACCTCTACAGAGGTCACAGCTGTGGGGACCCGCTCGGCGGTCACCGATAGGGCGCGGCGTGGGGAACCCCCACCCGGTCAGACCCGCCCGGCGGCACGAGGAAAGCGAGCTACCCAGAGGCCTTGGTAGCTCATTACCGCCTGGTTTCGCATCAGACTACGCGGGCTCTGTGGAAATGGAAATGACCGTCACGGAGTCAATATCTTTGGAGCACGGCCGTGTCAAACTGAAAGGTGGCCGCGCCGGAGCCATGACGAGCCGCAGTTCCGCTGCGGGCTTGCGTCGTCACGGCTCCGCCCTCGGGCATTCATTGACTCCCTCACTCACAGCCTCCTGGGATGTTTTCCGACCTCCCCTGGCCTTTCCCGACCTGACGAGATCTCTGCGAATCTCGCCAGCCTTTCGCGTTCCTCATTGACTCTGCAGTGACCTCTCTCAGCTTCAGGTGTCTCTCCGTGTCACCCGGGGACTCTGACAATCTTCTCTTGGCCTTCCTTGACCTCTCACGGCCTCCCCTACCCTCCATGGGTCTTTCCTCGGCTCCATGGAATTCTTCACTCCTCGAATATCTTCAAGACGGTGATTCACTCTCAGCTTACCTCTTCACACCCCGCTACCTCAGCTCACTCCCCATGCTTTGTACAGGGTGTTTCACTAAAAGTGTCAAAAAGTAAAAGGTCATAATGCACTTAATAACAATGTTTTCTAAGGACATTTGCATATCATTTCATCCGCAATTGTTGGACATTTAAATATATAAAAATGAAACCACCGTCACTCAAACCTATTCCACATATCCGCCCCTTCTTTTGATGCACCGTTTCGGCACGTGTCCGGAGATGCCTCACAGCCCGTTTTCATCTTCAGCGTCCAGACTGTCGGCAAAACCTTGAATTGTGCTCTTCAGCTCCCGAAGTGATGCGACTTGAGTCTTCCTCAGCTCTGCGAGAGCTACTGAGTCACTGAACAAACCAGAAGTCTAGCGATGGCAGATCGGGGCCTCGCGCTGGCCAGGGGCGGGCGGTGAGGCAGCTGATTACTCGGTCCGAGAACTTCTGGTCCAGTCAGTTCCCGGTGGCTACAGCCGTTACAGTGGTTGATTTTAATAACTTGTAAGGCCTTGGCTATTTCTGATGTTGGAATTAGCTTCTTGTTATCTTCAAAGGCCCTCAAAAAGACCCCGACCTTCTCAACGGTTTCCGCCGAGAGGTGGGGGCGACCCCGCCTTTTTTGGACTGAAACCGGCATCGAAGGAACACTTTTAAACCTCTCAACAAGCCCCTTAAAACTTTTATAATCTGGAACGTAACGAGGTGAGAGAGTAAAACGTTTTCTGAAAAGTCGGCGTACGGTTTCAATGTTTCTGATGGCACCAAATGTAAGAGTAATTCACCCCTCCTGTTGCGGTGTAAATAACCTGTTCTTGTTCTGCATAAGGAAAAAAACGACTCGTACCTAACTTTGGCCTCCTGCCCTCGCTCCGTATGAGTGTAAAATATATCTTAAATGGACAAACAATAAATGTCCAAAAATTTGCAACAAAGTGACGTGCGCAGCCACGTGATTTGCATATTCTATATATCTTTAATAAGCATTTACTTTTTGACACTTTTAGTGAAACACCCTGTAGGCGCTTGACTACTCGTAGTGACGTCATATTCCTTCTCTGGTGACGTCACTGGGATCATCCGGTCGGCTCGGTCACTGAGACCGCTCGATCCGGTCTGGGGAATGCCGAGCTCGCTCTGCCGGATGCATGGCGTCGGATATAGACCTACCTTTGTTCCTTCGGCTGACGTGCGGCGGTGCACTGGAGTGGCAACGGTGGCCCTGCTCACGTGCCGAAATCACGGCGCTAGACGACCTCGCCGTTTCCAGACCGTTGCTTACGACTGTCGCGACTCGTGGAGATCCCGTCCCGGTCGGTGAGTTTCAGGTCAGCCGTGACCTGGCCTGACCTCCGTGACCCTGGTGACCTCAGCTGTGACCGGTCCGCCGGTGATGCGTGGGTTCCGCGCCGGTGCGTTCTCTCCCCCACTGTCGTCCAGTGTTCGGCCTTGGTCAGCTGTCACCGTCCACTGGTGCCCCTGATCAGGGGTGTGAGGCGTGACAGGCGCTGACCGCGGGGCCGAATCGCCCCCGTGCGCGACCCCTCGCCCCCTCAGCCGGTCAGGGCTGGCCGGGGCCGGACTAAAGTCCACGGCAACAGCCAGGCTTTTATCGTCGTCGTCAGGTATACCAACTGGTTCTTCAGCGTGTTGTGTATGGGCCAGCAGCAGCACATTTAAAGAGGACCAGAAAACTAATGAGAGAGCGGAGATCAGCGCTCTAATATTTGGAGACGACCCGTAGGGGTGAGGCTGATCCGTCTTGATTGCTTGAAAATGGTATGCGGCATTGTCGTGTTCGCTGTGTAGTGAAACTTGCTGTTGCACGTTTTCCTGTGGCTTATTTTTTAGGAGCGTCTCATCGATTCACATTGACATTTTCCTTCCATTTGTCATCGAGCACGACTTCCTAGCTTTACGTATTGTGGGAGCTTTAACTGATCCGACGGCAGGTTTTCCTCTGTTCTTTCATCCATTTTCTTGCAAAGATGTCATCGCGTGGGCAATCACAATCACTCAATTGAATAGGTAGCTTTTGCGTTTCGGAACAGGTAGATACTGAAGTCTGACTCAGTTTGAACTAACACACTGACTATGAGCAGTGCACGCATTACCAGGCGTCACCTTTCCCTTCTACGCCTCCTTTGGCTATGCGTGACACAACAGCGGCCCCTCCCCCTCCCCTCGCCTCCGACCCCGACTGATGGCACCTGTTTACCCGGGACACCTTTCTCAGCGCCCTCCGTGACACCGGGACGGTGTTTTTACCGGGTGGTGTCCCACTGCCCGGCGCCCCGGCGCACCGTCTCTGCATCTCTAATGACGTCGTACCGGTGACGCCGGTGGGTGACGCGCACCGATCTGAGAGGCACCTCCGCCGCCGCCGCCGGAGGCCTGCCGCGCCTCAGCCAAGATGGCGAGCGGCCGATGGCTCCGGCTCGGCTCTGGGCTAGCCGGATGACGTGGGCGGTGGCTGAGCCCGCAGAGCCGGCTCCCAGGAGGTACGGGGTGGCGCGGTTAGTCACGCAGTCGGCTCACGTGACGTTGTCAATGGTGCACCTGTCGTTGGTACGGCCTCTCGTACAGCGGAGTGAAGGTGTATGGTATCGTCTGGGTGCTCCTGTGGACTATTGAATGGTAGAAGTTTTCACCTCATCTCAGCTGTAGAGCAAATTAAAGAGAGATCGGATCAAATTAACTCGCAGCTTTAGGCGCAGCTTGCTTCATTCCTTATGTTCGAAATCGGCAGGTCACACCAGTCGGCCCTGAATAATGACGGTCATTTATCTGTCCCGTACATCTGGAGCGGATCGGAGGGCAGTTTCTGCCAGGTGTAGCGTGGAGGCCGTCTCCAGACCTGCTCGCGGATGAGCCGCCGCTCGCCGGTCGCTCAGAGGCCAGTTTTCTCCGTCTCTCTCCTCCGTCCGGCGGCGGCCGTCCGACTTTTCCCGGCGTTTCTCTCTCGTTCGCCTTCCGGGGACGGTCGTGGTCCTCCGCGAGAGGTAGCTGGTCTCCAGCTGGTGACCGTTCGACCGATCTGCTGTCTTCCTGGGCTTCGTATCTAAGGGGCGGGCCGGCGCCTCCACACCTGCCCCCGCCGCCCGCTGCTGCTTTGTGTCGATTCCAGCTGGTGGAGACGCGCGCAGGTGTCTCATGTGCAGAGAACCGTCTCGAGCAGGGATTTAGGCGAATTTTGAAGAGTGAGACCGGTTTGAGGCTGAAGATCGTCCGCTGCATTGTTGTGACGTCTGTCATGGTCTTAAGTCGACTCATGTCGGGGCTCTAGTTGACATTATTTAAATTGACCCTTATTGTCAGAGACCGCCCGGGTAATTATCTAAACTTTCAACTTCTGGTCAATATCAGCGTACCCATCGAATACCCATGTCCGATTACGTGTAGCCACTCGCGTGTGCCATCCATCTTCCTGTTTG